TGTGATTTTTCTATTTTCTTCTTGCAATTGATTTCTAATTTTGTACCATTATGGTCAGAAAAGATGCTTGATATGATTTCAAACTTCTTAAATTTATTAACAGTTATTTTGTGGCCTAACATATAATCTATTTTAGAAAACCTCCCCTGTACACCTGAGAAGAATGTGTATTCTGCTGCTTTTGGATGGAATATGTTGTCCTGTTAAGTCCATCTGGTCTAACATGTAACTTAAGTCCAGTGTTTCCTTATTGAATTTCTATCTAAATAATCTGTCCACTGATGAAAGTGGGGATTGACATATCTTATCCTATTGTATTGCTGTCTATTTCTATCTTTAAGTTTGTTAATATTTGCTTTATGTATTTCGGTGCTCGTATATTGGGTGCATAAATATTTGTATGTTATGTCCTCTTGTTGAATTGACCTCTTTATCATTATATAACAATCTTCTTTGTCACTTAGACTTTAAGACAAAAACAGTAATATTTTGTCTGACATAAGTATAGCCATTCCAGCTTTCTTCTTGGTTTCCACTTGTGTAGACCGTCTTTTTCTCTCCTGCACTCTGAGCCTGTGTGTGTTCTTAAAGCTGAGGAGAGTTTTCTGTAGGCAGCATACGGTTTAGTCTTTATTATTATTCTTATTGCTATTCCATGTCTCTTAATTAGAGAAGTCTATTCATTTACATTTAGATTCATTATTGACAAGTAAGGTCTTACTAATACAAACTCTCGTTTTCTGGTTGTTTTGTAGTTAGTTCCATTGTTCTATTCTTCCTCTTGCTGCTTTCCTTTGTGTATTGATAATTCTCTGGAGTGGTATGGTTTGATTCCCTTATCTTTACCTTTGTGAATATACTACATGTTTTTACTTTGTGGTTACCATGAGGTGTACATAAAACATATTTCAGATATAGCAGCCTATTTTATGCTGACAACAATTTAACTCTATTTGTCTGCAAAAACTCTATCCTTTACTTCCTTTTTTATGTATTTGATAACACAGTTTACATCATTTTGTCTTGTGTATCTATTAAAAATAATTGTAGTTATTTTTACTATTTCTGTCTTTTAACTTTCATACTATATTTATAAATGATTAACCATATAATTACATGTTGTAATGTATAATTGCATATTGTAAGCATTACAACATTAGAGTATTCTGAATCTAGTAACTATATATTGTTGATGTAAAAAATGTCCAAACCTATAAAGAATTTTTATAAGATTTTATTTGAGCCAAAATAATGACATTGACAGGAAGCAACATCTCAAATGCTCAAGAGAATGACAGTTTTGCATTTCTTTTATGCATTTACAATTAAGGAGGGAACATAGGAAGATTACATGATAGTGAGAGAAAGCAAGGCAGGTATTGGATTATAGGATAGTTAATAAGAATAAGGTACTCTTCAGGGTGGTTACATTTATAACAAAGGTGTGTTAACCTAGATACACAAGAACAATGGACAGGGCTTGTTTAAGGCAAAGATAAACCTTATACTAAAACTTTTATATGCTTGGTGCATGACTATTTACCATGACCTGCTTAGTTAAAAATTTATGGTTAGATCACCCTGTGAGGTTCCTTTCTGCAGAATTTTTTTTTTTCCATTCACAATATTAATCTTTACCAGTGATATTTATACTTTCATGTTTTCTTGTTACTAATTAATGCCCTTTAGTTTCAGCTTAAAGAAGTCCCTTACCATTTTTTGTAAGGCCTCGTCTAATAGGGATGAACTTAGCTTTTGCTTGTCTGGAAAACATTCTCTCTCCAATTCTGAAGTATGCTTGGTTGCAGTTTTTTTCCTTTCAATACTTGAAATATGTCATATCTGCTCCCTTCAGCTGAAAATCTACTTTATCTTTTTTTTTTATTTTTTATCCTCACCCGAGGACATTTTTCCATTTTTTGTTCAGATAGAGCAGGAGGGAGAGAGAGGAAGAGAGAGAGAGAGAAACATCGATGTGGAGAGAAACATTGATGTGAAGGGACACATCGAGTGCTGCCACCCGCACGACCAACCAGGGCCGGGGACAAACTGCAACCGAGGTACGTGCCCTTAGCGGGAACCGAACCTGGGTCTCTCTGTACCGCAGGCTGACGCTCCAACTGCTGAGCCAAAGCGGCCAGGGCGCATCTTATGGGGGTTCCCTTATATGTAACATTGTTTCTCTTGTTCCCTTTAAGATTCTCTCATTGTCTTTACCTTTCATTTTCCCTTTTCACTGAATTCATTGGGATGACACTGGTTAATAAAATTATACAACTTTCAGGCGCACACCACCTGTACACTGTATTGTGTGTTCACCACCCCAAGTCTTCATCCACCACCATTTATCCCCCATACCCCCCACCATCTCCACCCCAGCTCCTGCAATCACCACACTGTTGTCGTATCTATTTTTTTTTCTTTTTGGGTAAATCCCTCCACCCACTCCCCACCTGGACAGCTGTCAGCCTGCTCTGAGTCTGTCTCTTTTGTTCATTTTGTTCATCAGATTCCACATGAGTGAAATCATGATACTTGTCTTTAACTTTTGACAATTTAACATGTGTTGTCTCTTTATATTCATCTTGCTTGAAATTTTATGAGCTTCCTTGATCTAGATGTCTGTTTGTTTCCCCAGGTTAGGGAGTCTTACAGCCACTATTCCTTCAAGTAAGCTTACACCCTCTTTTCTTCTCTTTCTGGGACCTGTATAATGCAAATACAGTCTGCTTAATAATGTCCCTACTTTTTTCATTCCTTTTCGTTTTACTGCTCTGATTGAATAAATTCCACTTCCCTGTCTTCCTTTTTTTCTGCTTCATCTAGTTTATTATTGACCCCTCTATTGTTTTTTTTAGTTTGGCCTCATGTTTAGTATTCTTATATTTTCTATCTTTGTGAGAAATTTTCACTTTGTTCATGCCTTGTGAGACCTGACCTTGGTGAGCATCTCTATGATCATATTTTGAACTCTATTATGAAGTAAACACTATATCTCCATTTCATTAAGTCCTTTTTCTGAGTTTTATCTTTTTTCTTTAAAAAAATTCGGAACATACTCCTGTTTCTTCATTTTCCTTGACTCTGTTGGTTTCTTCAGATTAGATAGAACAGCCACTTCTCTGCCTCAAAGGAGTGGTGGAGATGAGCTTCATTGTTCAATCCTACTCCAGTTCTTGGCTGTCTCTCAAACACTGTGATTGTCCGATTGTCCAAGCAACCTTTTGTTCTAATCAGCTCCCAGTAGCTGAGGGTGTGCCAAGACCTGTCAATGTCCCAAAGGGGAGGATCTCAGATACCAGCTGATTAAAAGCCAAATCCTCAGGCAGCAGCTTTAAAAGTATGTAAATATACTGCTGTCAGAGGAAGAGTGGGAAATGGGTGTTTCTGTCTGCTCTCTCTGAGCTGAGCCCCGGGCGGATAACCAGTTAAGAACTGTCCTTTTGCTACAATCCTGTGGAATCAGCAAATGTAAATACCACTGCACTGGGTCACCAGGTGGTCAAACGATGTCCCATGTGGCAGCCACAAAAGCTGGGGTGCCAGATGTGTGCAAAACCTTTTCTGGGAAGTACAGCAACCTGCAGCAAGGCAGAGGGACAGCAGATAGTGCTGTCCTGTTTTCTGGAACGTACTGCAGTCAGCTCCTAGATGTGTATTAAATTAAAATCCAGCCCTTCAGATTGAAGCATTTAAGATTGTAAATAGGCCTATCACACAAAGACTGGGCACACTTCAGTATGCTGCCTCTGTGCCGGGCACTGGGGGTTGGCCAGGGTGAGTCCATGTAAGCATCCTAAGGATTGTTTCTCAGCTTGCTCTATAGCCTGTGGGTCTCAAGGACACAAGTCCAGCTGCCTTCCAAGGCTAGATGTTTTGGGAGCCTGCCTCTTAGGTGGGGCACCAGATGTGAGGTCCAAACCCTTTGCTCCTGAGAAATTGGAAATCATGGGTTTTGTTCTAGTTGTGTCATTGCACCAGCAGTGGGGGTTAATTCCATACGTGTCTCTCCTACCCATCTCATTGTGGGTTTGTCCTTGTTCATCCGATGTGCAGTGGTCACTCAGCTAGTTCAGGAACCTCCTATGTTGCCATCATGTACTAGAACCTATTCATTCTTTAAAAAAACTTTTTTACCTCCTCAAATAAAATGTCTGGAATGCCAGTTGTTTAATGAATAGTTCTCTATCACTAGTTAATTAACATGGCACTTTTTTGGTGGACATTAGCAAAGACCATTTGAATGACTATTAAATATCAGAACAACAGTCCTGGATTCATTACTGATATGGGCCAGTTTGGCATCAGTCTCAACAACACTTTTGGTTAGTTATTTCTCACAAAATACATATAGTAAGGGGATTGAGAAACAATGTAAGATGAGTGCAAATCCACTGTTAAACATTAAAAAAAAAAAAAGACTTGAACCAGTGAATCCCTAACAATTTTACATATAATCAATAATACATTTATACTTAGCTTGGTGGTTGACCAAAATTTTGTCATTACTCATTTTGGAAACAAGCTTATTACCAAAAGAATTTGGGTATATTTAAGTATTGGCCTATGAGTAAAGTCTGTCCTAACAGAAATATTATTTCCTTTTCATCTTCACAATCAATTTTATCCTTTAGGTATTATAGAACATTTAAAATGCATTTGGTTAATTTAACCTTTATATTATTTAACTGGATATGTATAATTTAAGACTTTTATCTGAGTTTTTTTGTAAACATAAGGATTAAAACCAGACTAATTATTACACAAAGTTCTGTTAAAATGGTCTAAAAACATGACTTCCTCATTAAAAACGTTCTCATACACTAGGTAGCTTCGTAAATGTGCCCCACAGGAAACAATGTAGTAATTCTTTTCTGATGAATCTACTTCAAAGAGAATTTCTCCTTTGAATACTGTCAGGAAACAAAAAACCAATTTAAAGAGAACTTTTCCAAGAAAAAGTCATTATACAACGATTCTTTCATTTTATTTTTCCCTTATCTTAATCACACACTTTAAGTAAAAAAGATATGAAAGATGTTAAAAATTGGGAAAATGAGTTAGGCAAGCATCATTAATACCCCAAACAGAAATTCCAAATAATTTCACATCGTCACATATTTAAATATATCTCGTTTTCAAATCTAGCTGCCTGACAGAATGCACGCACTCTTGTCTACTAGAAATGGTGTTGAACCCGAGGCCAACTGCACACAAAAATGGTGTTGCTGAGAGAAATGGCTCTTTAGAGGTGCTCCGCTGTGGTGATGTAGCCACTAAAACCTTTCATTCTGTCAGCTGTTTGAAATACCCAATGACACTGATATGACAGCAGAAAATAGCCTCCTGATATATACTTCTAATATGATATATATTACTTGACATCTCTGCCAGGTAGTGTTGGCGTCAGAGCCTATTCCACAGGTATATACTTAGGCCAAGTTACAGAATATATAATATTTACTATTTACTGCTTAAGACGTTTTCCAATTAAATTGGGAGCTGTACTTACATGGAGTGGTATGTAGGCACCTTACACCTGTTCACGGACTCAGTCAGAACTGTGAACTCCACCACGCGGGAGGTGCGGCCCATGCCCTCATGCTGTCTGTGCTCTCCTGTGTCCAGCACACTGGCATCCACGTAACTGGTACAGTAACTCAGCAAATATTTACCAGGACTTCTTTAGGTATTTCATTTTGGGATTCTTATAGAAACAAGCCAATTTAAAGCATTTTCTAGGCTTTTAAAACGTAATAAATGAAAGGCACTTGCCACTACTGATCATAATCCAAAAAGGCGGTGTTAAGGCTGAAAGTGGTAATTGATCTGTATGTGCCTACATGTGTAAAATGAAATCTAAGACAGGAGTCAAAATACACAAAACAATATTGGAGAGACTATAAAGAATAGGATCACACTTGAAAAAAAAGGATTACTTTTTCTATAAATTGGAGCTCTAAAATATTTGAGGAAATATTGGAGAAAAAGATAAAATGATATTAAAATATAAACAAAACTCTTCCAATATAATAAAGAATAATCCTAATAGGTTTCTGGGAAAACTGAAGATTTTAAAAAATTCACTGAGCTCTTTTGCTCAATTGGGATTTTTATCATCCCATGCACCCTGAATTATAATTAACAATGTTTTCTTAAAATGCAAGGAAACAATTTTTGGGCTGAATCTGAACTGAGAAACTAATATATCTAATCCTCAGATTTATATACTTAATTTTCTTACAAAAATAACTTATTATTGTGCCAATATTTATCTGAACATGGCAGTCTCCAACAGTAAATTAGTAACTGGAATGACCACATTATCATTATAGTGAAACAAAACTGCAAAGTTATTTTTCCTGTTTGAATAAGGAAGAGAATAAACAAGAGAGGAAAACAGGCAATGTAAATAGAGGACATACATCCAGAGTCCAGAAGGCAAAAACATAAACAGTAGAAAAATGCTTCAAAAGTTAATCGCTATCACAGGGAAAACTTTTATAAAAAATATTTAGAAAATAAATTAACACATGTCTTTAAAATATAGAACTCTAAATATGTGATATATTTGGGATATTCCACAGCACACTGCTAATTGCCATACATATTTTTTCTCAGGTATTTCTGGAGGCTGTAGAAATCTATAGAATTTGTTTACTTACTGTTATAAAATTGTTTCTCAATTGTGAAAAATTAAAATAAATTCTTCAACCTTTAAGTAAGGAAAGAATGAAGAATCTCTTCACTATAATACATCGTGAAAATAGGGTATCTGTTTATTTTGTCACATTGTATTTTTAAAGTGAAATATGATTAGAGAATCAATTTCAGAGAATTTTTAGAACAGGTGATTGAAAACCAAGTTCTCTCTTTAGGTGAGCCCCAACACTCTGTGGTCAAGTTCAGTCTGCACCACTCAGACATGAAGGGATACACTAGCAGAGCAGGCTCACGGTCAAGCCAACCAGCGCAAACGTCGTTTCTAGTAGTCAGCAATCTGGGCCCGTGGACTGAACATGGTTTGTGGCCCATTTGTGGATGGTTTTACATTTTTCAAAGGGTTGTAAACAAAATAGCTTATGTGACAAAGAACTGCATATGGCCTACAAAGCCTAAAATATTTATGACCGGGTCCTTTATAGAAAAAGCTTGCACAATGGAAAAATATTCTCAAATGAGGATTAATAAAACAAAAAAAAGAAACTTGCAGACCCTTCATGCATACCAATGTTGTATAGAATTTAGACAGTGCAATTACAAGTCCAATATGACATTTTTATTCCCTCCACGAATGTAGTAAGTCTAAAAGGATGTCTTCTGATGTCATCTGTCAGAATTTCTTTTCAACTTTTTCTTCATCTTCAATATCATTAAAGTTCATCCTTCAATAATAATATAAAAGTAATTGAAAGAGAAAAGCAGCATGAGTTTATAATAGTAAAAACAAGGTAAAATAATATAGTCTAACCAAATAATTACTCTGTATTCTTATGTAATGGGTCCACCACATAAAAAAATGTACCTTGCCTACCTATAATGTGAGAGAAAAGGGTATCATCATGTTCTTACCTTCCCATGGTAGATATCACCAATTGTAGTTTTACACATTACACATTCAAAGTCAGATTTTAATGTGCTCTTTAACTTAATTTCAGTTATATTCTGATTTATGAGTAACAGTATTTTCTATTTCAAATGCTTAACTTGATATAAAAGTCACAATTTAAAAAATAAGACATTTAAGAAAACACAGCTAAACAAACTATCAGAAAAACATTTTTGTTTACTGAAACCAAGAAAATAAAAATTCACAACTATCTCTTTCCTATCTTTTAAATTGGAATAAAATGTAATTTTCGAAGCAGGCTGCACGGCTTTCTGTATTAGGGCCTGTCGTTCCCGTGATTCCACGGAGCCAGAGGTCTCTGTGCCGTTCTTCTGTCCCCTCACCTTCAGGACAAGAATCCGAGAAACCTCGTATGTGAGTGTAAGGAATCCTGTTCAGAAAGCCCTCTAGCATTCATGGACTCTTTGGTCTAAGCCTGTCGTAGAATGACAATGATTTAAAGAAGAAAACAAAACAGCCTTTTGAAAGAATAGCACAAAAAAGGTTGCGATTGCTTGATAGGTTAAAAATTCAAGGAGAAGCCAAGATGAACATGAGTTCAACACATCCTGACTATACCGAGAACAAAAGAGCATCTGCTATCCAAACATGTCATAAGGCTCCAGTATATTTATTCCTAACAAGTCAATGCTTTCTTTATATCTGAACAAAATTTAAATAATTTATGGCCGTAGTCATTAATTCTTGTTAAATGGTTTTACTTGTCCAAATTTCTAAGCATTTTAGCATTTAGAGGCTACATTCTGATTCTCATATTTTCCAAAGAAGAAATTTCCAACTACTGACTATTTTCTTGAAGCTTCACATTACTGTTTATTGACACGTATAAAGTACAGGAATAACAACTTCGAAACACGTTTGCCAAAGTCAGCTCTAGACTCAGTCCTTACCTTATTTCTTGTTCCATGTTTTTGGAGATTTTCCAATTTTTCATATATTAAGGTAGCAATCTCTTTTGCATCTCTTGAATCTATCTGCTCTCCCCAAATATTTCTCTAAAATTAAAAACACTTCTTATAATCTTTTAAGCATCTAATCAAAACATGACATTTCAATCTAAGAAACTTGATTAAAATAGTCCTTAGAGTTTCAAGTGTTTGAAACTCAAATTTCTTCAAGGAAATAATGCTATAAAGCATAGTTAACCCATTATCTACCTGAAATAAATACTAATGATACTGTTATGAGAATATGTAATTAATTCCTTGGGAAAAATGCATTGCTAATTCCTAATGCCTCAATTCCATCTAAATTGGGTAAGGAAAGATATGTCCAGAGACCGAAATCGTTCTAATCTAATGTAGTCTCTGGCACAGACACAACCATGACTAACTGCAACAATGGAAAGCAATGCCTATCCCTGGTTCTCTCTGCTCACAGCGGGAAGGTGGCTGGAAAACAGGGGAGGAGATAGCAGTATACCCAACTCTGCTCGTGTGGGATCTGGAGCCACCTGTCTCTTTCCTTCTGGAGAGTGCCCCACATCTGTACATTAGGATTTTATTTCTTTGTATAACTGCCCACCTGGGTTTGTGTTTCTGTTTATTCCTATCGTTATTTGGCCTCCTCATCAAGCCTGGACTTCTAGATACCACACCCATCTTTCAGTTTGGACAGGGATATTCTGGGTCCTAATCTGTCCTTGGGACTCCTCTAGACATATGGTAAGGTCTTTCAAAGAGCTCCCTCTCCTGATCATTTCTGTAACTGCTCCTTTTATTATTTCCCCACCATCATTTCACATGATGCCACCCATTTCTCAGCTGCTCTGAGATTTGGGAAGTAGAGCTAGTGATTCCAAAGGAATGAAGATTCGGGTTCAGGTATAAGCTCCTTTTCCTTCAAGTTATACTTACTCTATGCTGTTCTTAAGACAGAATTAGCCTCTTGGACTAATCAAAATCCATCAATGAAAAATCTAGATGTCTGACAATTCGATTTCTGAAATTCACCATTCAATTTCTTTATTTAGCTCTATTTCAAAATGTATTATAATTAGCTCTATTTCAAAATGTATTATAATTACCAATAAGTAGCATAAGATCTTAATCTGATAATCTTTTTCAAAAAGTATATATTAAAATTTTTGAAATTACTTCATGTTTTATCAGAAAACATGAATATAATACAAAGCAAATATTTATTTTATCACAGTTCCATTGTCAAAAATGTCATTCTTTTACTTGGGAAGACAGCAAAGGTCATGAGTACTTTGTTAGCAATTATACTGGAGACAGACATATACTTTTAAAAAAATTTTTACTAATTTTTTTAGAGAGAAGAGGGGAAGAGGGAGGGACGGAGGGAGAGAAAGAGAGAGGGAGAGGGAGAGAGAGAGAAGCATCGATTTGTTGTTCCACTTATTTACGCATTCACTGGTTGATTCTTGCAGGTGCCCTGACTGAGGACTGAACTCATAACTCTGGCACATCAGGATGGCATTCTAACCAACCGAGCTACCCGGCCAGGGCCTGACATATGCTTTTGTATTAGAAATTATCACCTGAATTTTGACTCATTAATAGATGAATCTGCTTTCTTGTTGAGAAAAAAAAAACTGTCACTGACCCAAAAAAGGAATTATTACTGAACCAAAGGACCCTTACTTTTACCTTGTAGTCTAAACCATTCATTAATAAATATTCCCCAAGATAAATGCACAGGTGCTAAGGCTACTTCAAAAACATTATAATAATATACTATCTTTTCCTAGAAAAATAACTATAAAGATAACATATGTTAATTCTACAGAAATAGGAGATATAAAACTTCACAGAAAGTAAATAATTACCTTGAATTCTATCACCCATAGAAAACTAATATTAGTATTTGGTATGTCTCTTGAGTAGTTTTCCTATTCATGAGTATACAAATTTTAAGGCAATGGAGATCATATTAATTGTGAGACAAAAAAAATCTTTTAAAATCACTTAATGTATATATAAAAAGGACTTTGTTTCAGTAATATGCAATAAAATAATGACAAAGGGAGAAGAAACTAGAAAAAAGCATTACTCAGACTAAAAAGTCTTATGAGCCTGGCCTGCTAAAGGACGGAAACAGAGGGAAAACCTGTACGTACCTTTGCTCTTTCGTAGGGATAAAATTTAACAGTTGGATAGGCTCTGATACCAGCTTTCTGGCATATTTGAGCATAAGCTTGACAGTCTACTTTTCCAGCTTTCACTTTTCCTTTAATCATCTAGAAAAAAAATATATATGGTTTACCATTCTCTGGCATAAAGTATTTTGGCCACCACAAAGCAATATGATACTAAAAATTTCAAATCTTTATAAACCTAAGGATTTGTTATTTAAAAAACTTAAGTTTTAATCCTTTCCATTCATATAAGATTGCTTCCAAATTCTTACTGGTTCTTTACATTCCTATTAGTCTAGCATCACATCTCCAATAGGAAATAAACTCTCCTTTGTCTTATTAAGAAAACTGAGAAGCTTTACCCTAAACTATCTTAACTTCTTGGTACCCACAGCTTGTCCATCACAGTACAAACATCTCAGATTCTGTCTTCTCCCCACCCTTCTCTGGTCTCAGGTGCTGAGGTAGCACTCCTCTTGTGGAAGGCTAACTACTGTAGCTACACTCTCCAGTCTCTTCTCTGTCAGATCTCTTCCTCTCTTTAGCATATACACATTCAATCCAAAAAAGATTCCTTCCTTAATTGCAGGGGATGAGAATAGGGAACAAGCAGAAGAAGTGAGGCTTTTGGCTGTTAAGGTTAGGTAGATGATAATGCCATCCAAGGCAGAGAGGTGTTAGCTAAAAATTTTAAATAGAGAATGCAATCTATTGCAAAGATTATAGTCAGTTATACTAACAAAATAGTTTTTAAAATTCAGAGAAAACTTTGAAGAAAAAAATAAAAATTATATTTAAAATGCTTTAGCTAATTATTAAAACATGCATGTGACTACAACTTATTTAAGTAGGTAGACAAGCCCTACCCTAGCCAAGAGCTCAAACTCTGGAGCAAAATTTTGGCAAGGTCCACACCAAGGAGCATAGAAGTCAACCACCCAATGATTTTTCTCTTGTAAAACTTTTTCATTGAAGGTCTGAGGTGTCAGATCTATGGATGCCTGAGGCAAAAATCTGTAGCAAGAAATCAAAATTATGTTTCATTATATAAAACCAAAGCAAACTTTCTAAAATATAATGCTGCAAAACTTTTAAAATTAAAAATGGCTTCAAAATAATGACAGTGTAGTAATTCTTTGCTAAGTGCTTTAAAATGCTAAAATTTTAAACAACTCACAGGAAATTTAATTACAGACATAAGAAGAAGAAAAATAGTATTAAATCCATTTTACACACTGATATATATTTTAATTACTTACCCTAGACCCCAGATTCTTAGGGAATAGGCATCCCTATTCCAACCATTGTAAGTCCTGAAAAAATAAGTAAGTTGTAAATAGTATTTTTCATTATTGGATATGTTCAGTAAATAATCTCATTGCAGCAATTTAAAAGATAAATAAATGACTAGCATCTCTCTTCCCAGGTATACCTAGCTACAAACACTACCCATATGGCTTCCCAAATATATTTTCACTAGTCTTAATGTCTTTTTGTGCTCCAGACAGACCTGAATGTTTACCTGCTTGCTGGACATCTATAGACCCATGGGAATAACAAAACTCAAAATGTCCAAGGCTTTAGTTTCTGAACCTTTTACTCCAGTTATTACTATAAAATTCCTATCCACTTTTAAGAGCTACATGAAAGGCCACCTCACAAATGCAGTATTTCACGATTTTTTCATAGTGTGATCCTTTCCTCCTTTGAAATCCATGGTTCATTTTTACTTTTTAAATAATACTCATTATATTCTGCCTTGCTTTTTCCAGTTTCCTCCTGAAAAACCATGTGGTGTTGTGGAAACTTGGGCACTGAGACAGTCCTGGGTTCAAAACCCAACTTCCAACCTTAGCAGTTATTATCGAAGTTAATCTAAGGTCTCTGAATCAGTTGCCTTATCTATAATAATGTAGGAAGAGTAATCACTTGTTTCTCAGGCTGTGTGGGAGGGCTAGTGGAAATAACGTGAGCAAAAGGTCTAGTGTGCTGTATGAAACTACACAAGGACTTAAATGTTACATTTTTCTCTCCCTATTTCTTCTGTACTAGACTATTGGCTTCATGAACGGTGGAACTATCAATTCTCTTTTCATCTTTTGAAGTTCTCATTAGCACACTATCGTAAACATGGTGAACTCCCTAAAAATATTTATTGGGTCAATGTTTATTTATAGTTAGGATAACTTTTACATTTTAACTATAGAAGTAAATGATTATAATAAATGCCTTCAAATTTTAGATAATACTTACTGAAACTGATAAGCTTTATTTGACTTTGGGGGATAAAATCTTATCTCAGGGTATCTTCGAACATTTTCTTCGGCACAGAAGGAATGATGCTGTTGGCAGTCTATGCTGCCCACATTGATCAGTCCAGTTAATGTCTATAAAAGAAGGAAAAAGAGGAGACAAATATATCAGAGTGATTAGAATAAAATTACCTCCATTAAACTTTATATATATTTGCAATAGAGAAACTGTCACTATGAGACGATTATTAATTTATCAGTGATTTTCATCAAATAAAAATGAGTAAGGACTTAAACATAAGTAGATCATTTATAGTAATGAACTGGAGATCTAATTTTGTAGTTAAGAACTTACTACAATTATTGCATACTAAACAATGGATTTCATTCACCCAACACATAGAAAAATATATCTAAAACGCAAAGTGTTAAAAACCAAAAACTAATGAAGGTCTTGGCAATGGATCTCAGAGTTATTTTTCAAATGGAGACATTTTAATTCAGGTATGAGTCAGTATGCTGTGGGTAGCATATTGACTCATACCTGAATTAAAAAAATTTTAATGGGGATTCATCCCAGGGATGCAAGGCTGGTACAAATTTGCAAATCAATAAATGTGATACATCACATAAATAAAATGAAGAATAAACACCACATGATCATATCAATAGATGCCGAAAAAGCATTAGACAAAATCCAGCATCCATTTCTGATAAAAACGCTCAGCAATGTGGGAATACAGGGATATTTAGACATAACAAAGGCCATATATGGAAGACCTGCAGCCAACATCATACTCAATGGGCAAAAATTTAAAGCATTTCCCTTAAGAACAGGAACACAAGGATGCCCACTTTCACCACTCTTATTTAACATAGTACTGGAAGTCTTAGCCACAGCCATCAGACAGAAATAAATAAATAAATAAAAGGGATCCAAATTGGAAAGGAGGAAGTGAAACTGTCATTATTCGCAGATGACATGATATTATACGTAGAAAACCCCAAAGATTCCATTTACAAAATTTACTAGACTTAATAAATGAATTTGGCAAAGTAGCAGGATACAAAATTAACGTCAAGAAATCAATGGCATTCTTATACACCAATGATGAACTCACAGAAAGAGAAACTAAGAAAACAATCCCATTTACCATTGCGGCAAAAAAATTAAGATACCTAGGAATACACTTAACCAAAGAAATAAAGGACCTATTTGCAGAAAACTACAGGTCACTGAAAAAAGAAATAGAGGAAGATATAAAAAAGTGGAAGCACATGCCTTGTTCATGGATTGAAAGAATTAACATCATTAAAATGTCCATACTACCTAAAGCAATCTATAGATTCAATGCAATCCCCATCAAAATACTAATGACATACTTCACAGAACTAGAACAAATACTTCAAAAGTATATATGGAACCAAAAATGACCTTGAATAGTCACAGCAATCTTGAAAAAGAAGAACAAAGTAGGAGGGATCACATTACCAGATTTCAGGTTATACTACAAAGCCACTATAATCAAAACAGCCTGGTACTGGCACAAGAACAGGCATACAGACCAGTGGAACACAACAGAGAACCCAGAAATGGACCCAAGGCAATATGCCCAATTAATATTTGACAAAGGTGGCGAGAGCATACAGTGGAGTAAAGACAGCCTCTTTAATAAATGGACAGCTACATGCAAAAAAATGAAACTAGACCATCAACTTACACCCTACACAAGAATAATCTCAAAATGGATAAAGACTTAAATGTGACTCATGAATCCATAAAAATCCTAGAAGAAAATCTAGGCAACAAAATTTCAGACATCATACGCAGCAGAATTTTCACTGATACATCACCTAAGACAACAGAAACAAAGGAGAAAATGAACACATGGGACTACATCAAACGCAAAAGCTTCTGCACAACAAAAGATACAGTCATCAAAATGGAAAGGCAACCCACTCTATGGGAGGGCATAATTGCCAATGATATATCAGATAAGGGGTTAATTTCCAATATATAGAGAGTGCTCATACAACTCAACAAAAGGAAGACAAAGAACCCAATTAAAAAATGGGCAGAGGCACTAAATAGACACCTCTCCAAACAGGACATACAAATGGCTAAGAGACATATGAAGAAATGCTCAACATCACTAATCATCAGAGAGATGCAAATTAAAACAACAAGGAGGTATCACCTCACACCTGTCAGAATGGCCGCCATCAACAAATCATCAAACAACAAGTGCTAGCGAGGGTGTGGAGAAAAGGGGACTCTAGTACACTGCTGGTGGGAATGCAGATTGGTGCAGCCACTATGGAAAACAATATAGTGTTACCTCAAAAAATTAAAAATTGAACTTCCATTTGACCCAGTGATCCCACTTCTAGGAATATACCCTAAGAAGCCTGAAACACCAATGAGAAAGAATATATGTACCCCCATGTTTGTAGCAGCACTATTTACAATAGCTAAGATCTGGAAACAGCCCAAATGTCCATCAGTAGACGCATGGATAAAAAAAGCAGTGGTATATATACACAATGGAGTACTATGCAGCTGTAAGAAAAATCTCTTATCCTTTGAGACCTGGAAAGTATTATCCTAAGTAAAACAAGCCAAACAGAGAAAGACAAGTATCATATGATCTCACTTACTTGTGGAATATAATGAACATAACAGTCTGAGAAATGGGGTAGTCCCAGAGACATGGAAGTGGGTTACAGACTGACAATCCCCAGAAGAGGGGGTGGTGGGGGAGAGATAGACCACAGAACTTATATGCATGTGTGCATGAACAGTGGAAATGAACAACAAAGCTGGGTACAGTGTGGGGAGGGAGAGGATGGGGGGAATCAGTGAGGGAAAAAGGAGAAACATCTATAACAAAAATGAATTAATTAATAATAAAAAAAAAAATGAATAAACCAAAAACCAAAAAAAAAAAGAGAACATTTTATTTAAAATAAAAGCTAAAACATTCCTGGGGAAAAAAAATTTTTTTTTAATGAAAAAACACAGAATTGTATTATCTTGAATGTTAAGATAACAGAAATCACTGTAACTCTTAGGTTTGTTCATTTTTATCTTAAAAATAAATATAAAATAGTTGCTGAATTTCCCATCCCAGCATTTAAATAAATTCTTATTTTTCATGATTTATAGAACACTATGTCTATTTGTATGAAATTTAAAAAATCCAAATGTGTTGTAGATCAAAGCTATTTTTTTTTTTTTACTTTTAAGTCCTACAATATTTTGAAAAAATGTATGTTTGAGCTCTAAAAATTATAAAAGTAAATAATTTTATTAGAAAATGAAGGAGATCTTTGGGCTGACTTTGGCAGAAGTTTGATCAGTTATGTGCGGAGTGACACAAACAAGAGTAAATTATTCTATCCCATTCACATGCCAGGCAGAAACTGAGTTGAAATCTAAGTAGTATGATCAGAATTATTATTAAGTTATTATCTAGAGGTGGGTTTACTCATGGCAGTTTGAAAATAATTCTATTAAATACACATTCTTAGTAAATGTTAAGATTTAAAATAAACTATTTTACCATACCCGGGCCATCCTTTTCCATTCCGGCATTAAAACTTGACATGGATGACACCATGGAGAATAGAAATCAACCATCCAGACTTCATCATGTTTTCTTTGTTTAACTAGTTCATTGAAAGTGGTGGGTGACAGGGAAATCACTGAAGGATTCATAAGATCCTAAAGACAACACAGCTTACATTATAACAGATATAAGAAAAGAGTTGTTCATATATTCTTGGAAATTGTCAGTATCTATTAAGTAGAAAAATTTATTTTTGAATAATAAAAAAAATACGTAAATATACTTTAAAGAGAATCTATAGTAAATTATTTTAACAAGAAAGAAATAATTCCTAATTTATTTATTAAGTTTGGATTCTATCAGTCTTCTTACATCAAGGTATATTTTCCTATTTCTATGTATCACTAAGATAAACAGGCAACTTTACTTAAGATTATGAGTAGATGAGGCAAGATTTCCAAGAGCTGCCCAGATGTCTACATAAGCCATGTAGTTCTGTTCTGGAACCAACAATTGGTTAGGAAATAGTCCTTTAATTAATAATGGAAAGCCGACTAATCTATTTTCCTGACATTCTGACTGGAGATACTGCACAACCTCTCTACAGATCACTTGCTCCTAATGCTGTTTTAACAAAGCTTCAGTCTATCAGGACTGGGTAATATTAACAAAGACGTTAGCTTCACTGGGGGAAATAATCAAAACTACAACAACACAAAACCAAACACTTATTTTGGAGGAGGAAGGAGAGAAGACTAAGACAGAGAGTAAAATGTTCACTACATAAATAATAAGCTAAAATTTGTCATTCTTAGGAAGTCCCTGTTAACTATTCAGTCAATCAAGACTATCAGTGGGAAAAAGGAGATACTAAAGATACAGGGCACTTCTGTGCTACTAACACAGGCACGGCATAGCTGCCCAGGCCTGAGAGAGGCCCTCCATCGGGGTGGGTTAGACTGACCTTACCACCCTCACATTTCCCGGGTAATACTGAGCTTAGTCCTATCTCATCTATATGGGACCTGAAAGTAAGCTGTGGTGGTTCTATCTGAGAAAACATGAAGAGGGGGTGGAAAAGCTTTATGTGAAAGTATAATTTCATGCATTCAATAGTTGTGCCCACTAAGAACAAGGCACTGAGCTAGGTAATAAACAATACACAGATTTATGTAAGTATATAATAAAAGTAAGACAGTAGAATAATTTAAGAAATTCGTTTTCTTGTCAGAAAATGTTTTGGCATGAGAAGAATAAATCCTATTACTAAGCATAATTAAATATTTATACAATGTGTACACATACACAGAAGGATTTATAGCCACGAACTTAAAATAACATGTCGCCTCTATAATTTATAACACTATAGAATTAAATTAATTTAAAATACCTCTATGAACTCCAAGATCTGTTCGGCAGAGTGATGTCCTTCATATTCATGAACACTGGACTGGTTGAACACCACTGTTGTTGGATAAGCCTGAATGTTATACTGTTAAGAATGAGAAGACAAATTAAACATTATACATTTAACTTATTTGTTTCAAATTTATAATCAGCTTGCCTTTATTTAAGTAACAATAAGATTTAAAAAACCCATTGCTAAATTGCTGGTGACTGAAAAATTTTAGCCTGCACAAATTCTGCAAAGAAAATGAATTCACAGTTGTAGTGATAATACCTAACCCTTAGTTACAGTTAGTCCATTAGACATAAAATCCATAAGCATGAAACAGAAGTGGGCATGGGTAATTATGAGCTTGGTCCCTTAAGATGCATGAGGCTGTAAAGAGTAGACTAATCTCTAGCTTAAATCTTTTTTTTGAAACCATAACAGATATTCCAATTTGTCTAGAAGGAGAAGAAAACCAAGAAAATAGCAAGAATAAAGAAATACATTAATAATGAATGTAGACACAACCATACTTTAGGTTAAAGAATGATGAATCACACCCTAAGAATGTGGTCATTTTTTACTCTTTATATTCAAGATAGCTTTTCTGGTACAAAACACTACAACTTCCTCCTCAGAATTAACATGAACACTAGCTCAGGAAGCATTTCTTTAAACCTGAAATTTTTATTTATTCTTTTAAACGTTATAAAGAGATTTGTGGATTTGTTGTAGCTAAACCTTGCATCTTTAAAGTTGACAAGCACTTACTGGCAAATTGAAATCTTTGACTAGGATTCAAAAATAATTTTAGGAAAAACAATGTAAACATTTATCAAACTTGTAAAATGAGTGCACATTAGAACAACTCATTACATTATAACAAAACAATTAAACCTAATATGTAACAAGTGCTCACTGTGTGTCCAGTACCTTTTCAGCACTTAAGCATCTAGTTTCTAATCTGTTCCTCACAACAATTCTTTTCAGCAGCTAAAATTACTAAATCAACTTGATAGATGGGAAACTGAGGTTTTGTGAGGCTAAGTGACTTAGTCAAGATCCACCAAGAGTGAGTAGTGAATCCTGATGTGTTCCAGGTGAACTGATACCTTAGTTTTAAACCCTCACATTTCACTCAATTACCTATAACCTATATAATAGTTAAGATAAAAAGTAAAATAACTAGCCCTGCCTAGTTTGGCTCAGTGATTAGAATGTCAGCATGTGGACCAGAGTTGCAGGTTCGATTCTGGTCAAGGGCATGAACCACAGTTGTGGTTCAGTCCCCAGCCCTAGTTGGGGTCATGTGCGAGGCAACCAGTTGATGTGTTTCTCTCATACTTGTGTTTCTCTCTCTCTCTTCCTCCTTCCCTCCCACTATATCTGAAAATCAATGAAAAAATATCTTCGGGTGAGGATTAAAAAAAAAAAAAGGTAAAAAACTAAAGGAATTCAAATTAAGATAATTATTGTGTCTAATTAATTTTGTATCTTTGCTTAGCATCTTTTCCAGTCACACACAAGACATAAAACCAAAGGCCTTATTTATTTAATTTTAAATTTATTTTAAAGAGAGTTCAAACAAAATGAAAAAGAATAATCTGACTAATACCCACATATCCCTCCCCTATACTTAAGATTGATTAACTTTTTTTGCCACACTGGCAGATTGTTGAAGTTCTTTCTTGTTCTCATTTCCTTCCCTTCCTGACAGTAGAAGCAACCTGTAGTGTGTAAGCATTTAAGTTTTCTGTAATTTTTATCATATTCTTTATACTATCCTGCAACCTGCTTTTTTTCCATTGTATTTTTGAGATTTACCCATGCTGGTAAAGATAGATCTAGTTTTAAATGTCTGATAGTATTCCACTGTGTGACTAGATTATTTATCCATGCATGTGCTATTGTGAGATTTCTAAATTTTTGATAGATGCGAGGGTATAGGACTATTCTTGCAATCTGTACTTTCTTGATAACTAGCTTTACTCAAACATTTTTCACATTTATTGGATTTCCTCTTTCGCAAAATGTCTATAAATCTTTTTTCTTTTAAAAAAAAATTGACTTATAGTCTTTAAATATTCTGGACACTAAAGCTCTGTCAGTTATACGTGCTGCAAAAACATCCTTAGCCTGTTCTCTTAAGTTTTCAGTGTCTATTTGGCAATACTTATAACATTTAATGTAGTCAAATTCATTCATATTCACTGATTTTTACATTTAGTTTATTTTTGTGTGTGGAGTGAGAAATTATTCCTCACACAGATGCCATTAACATTTTTTAAAAATTCATCTTTATTGTTGAATGTATTACAGATGTTTCTCCCTTTTTTCCGCATTGACCCCTCCTCCCCATTCCCGCCCCCTCATGCCTTCCCCACACTATTGTTGGTGTCCATTGGTTATGCTTACATATATGCATACAAGTTCTTTGGTTTATCTCATCCCACCCTCCCTCCCCCTTTCCTTTTGAGGTTCATTAGTCTAACAACCAATTTGTACTTCTTAATTCCTTCATCTTTTTCACCCATCCCCTCAGCCCTCACCCATCTGGCAAGCAACAAAAAGTTCTCTGTACCTGTGAGTCTGTTTCTGTTCTGCTTGCTCATTTTGTTTGTAGATTCAATTATTGATAGATATGTATTAATTGCCATTTTATTGTTCATATTTTTGTTCTTCTTTGCCTTCAAGAAGACCCTTCAACATTTCATATAATACTGGTTTTGTGGTAATGAATTCCTTTAGCTTTCTCTTGTCTGGGAAACTCTTGATATGGCCATCGATTGTAAATGATAGCTTTGTAGGACAGAGTAATCTTGGTTGTAGGTCATTGCTTTTCATCACCTTGGATATCTCTTGCCACTCCTTTCTGGCCTGCAAAGTTTCTTTTGGGAAATCAGCTGACAGTCTTATGGGAGCTCCTTTGTAGGTAACAAACTGCTTTTCTCTAGCTGCTTTTAAGATTCTCTCTTTGTGTTTAACCTTTGGCATTTTGAAGATGATATGTGTCTTGGTGTGGACGTCTTTGGGTTCAACTTGTTTGGGACTCTCTGTGCTTCCTGGACTTGTATGTCTGTTTCCTTCATCAAATTAGGGAAGTTTTCTGTCATTATTTCAAATAGTTTTTCAATTTCTTGCTCTCTCTCTTCTTCAGGCACTCCTATGATGCAAATGTTGGCACGCTTCAAGTTGTCCCAGAGGCTCCTTACACTATCCTCATTTTTTTGGATTCTTTTTTCTTTTTACTGTTGTGGTTAGGTGTTTTCTGCTTCCTTATATTCCAAATCGATGGTTTCCTTCTTGGCTTTACCTACTCTACTATTGATTCCCTGTAAATTATTCTTTATTTCATTTAGTGCATCCTTAATTTCTGACTGGCCCTTTTTTATGTTGTTGATGTTCTAAGTTCCTCGGAGGTCTCCTTAAGTTCCTTGAAGGTCTCACTAAGTCCCTTGGATGTCTCACCAAGTTCCCTGAGCAACCTTATAATCTGTGTTCTGAACTCTGCATCTGTTAGATTGCTTATCTCCATTTTGTTTAGTTCTTTTCCTGGAGTTCTGTTCTTTTCTTTCATTTGGGACATGTTTCTTTGTCTCCTCATTTTGGCTGCTTCCCTGTGATTGTTTCTATGTATTAGGCAGAGTTGCTATGCCTCCTAGGCTTCGTAGGGTGACCTACTGTTGTAGGTGTCCTGTAGGATCCAGTGGCACAGTCTCCCTGATCACCCCAGCTAGGTCCTCACAGTACACCCCTCATGTGGACTGTACACCCTTCTCTTGTAATTGAGTATTGATTGCTGTTGGCACATCAATGGGAGGGGTTTACTCAGGCTGATCAGCTGCAAAGACTGGCTGTGCCCACTAGCCACTACCTTGGAGGATCAGCTGTGTAGGGGCCCACCACACAGAGCAAGACTTACTTCAGCAGGGTTCTGGTACTCACTAAGTCTGCTCATTGAGTGTGTCACTTGCGGAGGTGGTTGGGTGGTGGTGTTTCGATGTGGTCTGAAGCTGTCCACCAGGTGTGCTGGCTCTGGGGTAAGGTCAGCCACTGCCTGTACTCTATCCAGGGCCACCCAGCATAAGCTACAAAATGAACTGCAGATGGTTGCTTCTTGTGCTGGGCTTAAAGGTGCCCAGGAAAAACCAAGTTGTGAATCAAGGTTAGTTGCTTCTAGTGCCAGGCCTGGGGCCACTTAATGACAGGTATGGGGCTCACTGAGACTGGCCCCTCTCGAGGCCTGGCTCCACACCACTCTTGTGGGCCACTGGTTCACACAGGTCTGTCCAGAGCCCTGGCTCTGTACCGCTCTTGTGGGCCGCTGGGTCACACAGGTCCCTCTGGATCCCAGGCTTCCTACAGCTCTTGTGGGCCGCTGGATGGCACAGGTCCCTCTGGATCCCAGGCTTCCCACTGCTCTTGTGGGCTGCTGGGTCACACAGGCCCCTATGGGTCTCCGGCTTCCCAACACTCTTGTGGGCAGCTGTGTTGTATAGGCCCCGATGGAGCCCTAGGTCCCGCCGCTGGTGGCTGAGGAGGGCTGCTGCCCAGTGGGGTTTAGCTCCTGCTCAGCCTTTGCTGTAGTTTTTGGGGATGGTTCTCTGCTGGTGGTCTGTGCTTTTGTTGCCTGGGGATGGATGTCTGCTCCCCAGCCTCTGTTGCTGGGGTATATCTCAACTCTGATCAGGCTGATACTATGGGGGATGGTGCTGGGCTCCCAGCCATTTGCAGTTTCCACAACCGGCATCTTGACAGCTCCACTACTGTGCACTGGTCTGTGTTGACACAGGGCATCCACTGGTCTGATGGTGCCAGGTGCACTGGTGGGCTCAGGTCCCAGATGCTGCCTGAGAGATTTTAGGAAACTCTGAAGCAGGATCCAAGACAGGCCAATCCTATGGTAAAGCCTTTGGAAACAGCTTGGGTGGGGCAGGGCCTCAGGGAATCACCAGGGTGGGGCCAACGGTGTGAGCCAGGTTGCTGGAGCCCCAGATATGGTGGCTATCTGTCTGCCCTGTGGGGGAAGGGCTCAACAAAGGAACAATGGCCTCCACCAGCACGTCTGTCCAGGAGAAAGCTGCCCCTCCAGCCCTCGTCCGGAGGCCAAAGAGCTCAGTTCTTCCCTGTTCTCTGATGCCCCTCAAGCTGCCTCCCCTCGGAGCTCAGAGGGAGTGGGTCTGAGTTAGTCTGTGCGCAGGCCCTTTAAGAGGAACTGCTGGGGCTCCAGCAGCTGCAGCCTCCCTCTGCCTCAGTTCCCACTGGTCTTATAACCAGAAGTTATGGGGACTTCTCTTCCTGGCACTGGAACCCTGAGCTGGGTGCCTGGCGTGGGACGGAGACCCCTCACTCCTCAGGGAGGGCCTTCCCAGCGGAGGTCTCTCCTGATTTTTATCCACCACACATGGGTGTGGGACCAGCCCGTCTGTGCCTCCACCCCTCCTACCAGTCTCCATGTGGCAGCTTCTTTAATTTCGTAGTTGTAGGACTTCCACTCAGCTCTATTTCAGGTGGTTCTGAAAGATGGCTGTGTTGTAGTTTTGCTGTAATTTTGATGTGGTTGTGGGAGGAGGCGATACTGTGTGTACCTATACCATCTTGAACCACCTCAGATGCCATAAACATTTCATCCTATATTTACTTCATTTATCTTTTTAAAACATTTTAGTTTTTATGAATTCTCATTTAAAATGCATACAAAATCAGAGAACAATAGTCTCATGTACTCTCATGGCTATAACAATAATTCACTCATGGCTACTCTTAATTTATTTGTACCTCCTTCCACTCTACTCCTACCCCAAGATTATTTTAAAGCACATTCCAGATAATCGATCACTTCATTCATAAGTATCTCAGTATATTAAAAATATAAAGACTTTCTCCCAAATATAAGCACACTATCATTTTCATACCTAAAAAGGAACAATTCCTGAAAATTATTAGATATTCTGTCAGTGTTCAATTTTTCCCAATTTGCTCTTTATTTTTGCAGTTGGTTTAAATTGCATTCACATGAGGCCTAAACTTGCATTTGAATGGTATGTCTTATATGTCTTTAATCTTCTTCCTCTTTTAATAAAATTGTCCTATAAACTGGGTGTTTGTCCTATAAAGTCCTCTACATGCTAGAATTTGCAAATTGCATGCCCATGTTGTCACTTAACATATTCTTCTATACACTGATAAGGCCGAAGACTTGATTTATGTTTGATTTTTTTCCCAAGAATATTTTATAGGGTGCACTGTATACCTTCATCATGAGGTATAGAATTTCTAGTACTTCTTGGAAACAAAGAGTGAATTATTAATTAACCTCATATCTCATTTATCGTTTTAATTTCCTCCTATTAGCTATACTATTATAAGGAAAGCGAAAGAATAAAGCTTTAGGCTGCCAAAAGGTAATATTTAGTTAAAAAATATAAAGATCTTAATTAAAAACAAAACAAAACAAAACATATATTTTATCAAGTCAACTAGTTTCCTGAGTTTAATAAGACCATATCTATATTTAACCACATATATTTTCCATGTTTTAATCCATCATTTTATTAAAATTATTTATTTAAACGTCACTATTCTAAATGTAGAAGTACATTTGAAAAAGTTATTTTAATATTAACTAGAATACATTTTAAATACTTTGCCTTACCATGTTACAGAGTCCCTCATGAACTGTACAATCTAGTGTACCAAACTTAAGCTGACCATAAAGATGCTTTGATGCTTTTCGTAATTCTGGCAATAAAGCTCGACATGGTGGACACCACTACAAAAGAAAAAATATTCATAAGCACTAAGCCACATAAAATGAACACAAAAACCACACATTTTTGCAACAAGCAATATGCTAAGTAAGACAAACCACACTTAGCTGCACAACTTATGCTTGTACATACTTAACCCTTAGCCTAGCAGCGGTTCTCAACCTATGGGTCGTGACCCCTTTGGGGGTCGAACGATCCTTAAACAAGGGTCGCCTAAGACATAACAGTAGCAAAATACAGTCACGAAGTAGCAACAAAAATAATTTTATGGTTGGGGGTCAGCACAACATGAGGAACTGTATTAAAGAGTCGCGGCATTAGGAAGGTTGAGAACCACTGCCTTAGAGGGAAGTACATCAGTGCTCTTTTAGATGCACTATGTGGTAGTAGCCAAAACTATACCCATGGTTTATGGTTATCTAGAAAATGTCTTTTTTGCTGTAAGAAGAGAAAATCTGACAGTATTGAATTTTACAGATAAAAATAACTTACAGGGGCAAAAAAATCAACAAGCCATGGTTCTTTGTCATTGGCAGGAAAATTTTGAGGTCCAAGTGTGGTAACATGAGAATGAACACTTTCTTTGGCAAAGGCAAGTATGTCATATAGAATCTTCTTTCCTTTGAAATTGAGTGAGAGAAAAGTTAAAATCCACATTTTGCCTTTTACTTCAAAGCACTTCAAAGTTTTTATACTTAAACTATTAAAGAAAGGGAGATAAACTTACGAACAAATTGATTTCAGTGAGGTTTTCATGTTCTGTAAACTACATATACATAGGTTTATCTGCCAGGAGTACCCTTTCCTTTACTCTTCTGTTTCTGGGAGGACCCAGTTAAAACGTCAAGACCTCTTTGAAAATGTTTATTCATCCTCAGAGGCAGAATTTTAACATCCTTGCAGTGTTCTTTGAGTTCGTTACGCTTACCTGAGCTATTACTATGGCCTAACTCCTAAATCTGTTTCTTCAACCTAGACTTCTATTGTGAATTCAAAAACCTGTATTACCAACAAGGTAGTGGAAAAATTAATCTGGATGTCATATAAACATTTCAAACACAATACTATGTCCAAATTGATGTTATTTTCTCCCCAAACTTGCTTCTTCTCACTTTCCCTACCTTGGTAATGGCATAAGCATCTACCACTAGGTGCCTAAATAAAATTTCCAAGAGTGAGTGTTGCCTTCTTTCTTTGCCCTTGTATCATAACACCATCTATCCTATCTCTTGCCATCTTCAGTCCCAATTTAGGCTTCTGCCTAAATTCAGTTTGGCCTATTGCAATAACCAACCTGGTCTTTCTTAATCTATTTTCTACATTGCTACTACAAAAAAACCCATTAACCTAATCATGTTGTCTCCTTGCTTAATCTATTTCTTGGCTTGGCAAATAATAGCTTTCTCAAACAGCACATACTCCATTTTACCATGTGCCCTCTGACTTATTCACTTAACAGTCAAAAAAACAAAACATCGATGAGAGAGAACATCGACGGGCCGCCTCCCGCATGCCCCGATGGGAGCTGGGCCCACAACCGGGCATTGCCCTGACTGGGAATCCAACTGGCGACCTCTTAGTGCATGGGTTGATGGTCAACCATTGAGCCACACCGGCTGGGCCCATATGTTCTTTAAAGTAGAGATTATAAGTACAGTTCACATTTTCCCTCTCCCTTGTATAGTAACTGGCACATGCAGGTGCTCAATACCTATTTAAATGCAAAGAAGTAATACAAATTATGCTATAAAATTAGTGACAGCACACAAAAGAAAGTACTTGGGGATGCTTTAGGCTGTTTTAAAGGGTGATTTGGAGTTTGATAAATACAGGAGTGGGCAAAAGTATCACAGTTATTCTTATAGAAAATACAATAATTAACAAATAATAATAGAAGAATAAACTGTGTTTTGTGTACTCACAAGTGTAAACTTACTTTTGCCCATCCCTGTATTTTGAGGGGCAGGAGGGAATGATTACAATGCAGGAGGAAGAAAAAGTTTGTATGAAGGCACAGAGGAGTAAAAGGACCCACAAGTAGCTGGAGCTATGATTATTTGGAAGGGCACAGATGAAGTGAAAAGGCCAGCAGAGGCAGAGTGTGAATGTATTCTGTTAACTTAACAATGTTATACTGAACTGTTGCTAAACACCAGGCACCATTCTAGGTGCTGGAGAAAGTGGTGAGCAAGACAGATAGTGTCATTGCTCCTATGCTAAGGAAGCTTCATTTTAAAAGAAATCAGCAGTCAGGGCAGAAAAGTGAGATGTTCTAGATATTCCAGGGCAATAGACGCAAATAACACAAATAACCAGTTGTAAAGAAGAAGGCTACGAGATGGACAGCTGTATTGGACCTGAAATAAGGCAGCAAGCACAGAGATGAGTGGAATCCAAGAAACATTTCAGAGTTGAAAAAGAATAGAACTCCATTACTAAAACTGGGTCATTTCTAGCATGATAAGGAAGCAGCATTTAGTGAGCTGTAAGCGTAGGCTTTGGAGTCAGACATATTTGAATACAAAATCTACTTGACCAGTTACTGGTTGTTGTCATGGGCTAACAAGTTACTTAGCCTTACTGAGTTTCAGTTTTCTGGATTGTTGTGAAGATAAAAATTGAAATGTAAGATTATGCAAAGATACAAAGCCTTTAGAAAAACGTTTGCCCTGAAGAAGTACAGAATAAACAGTTGTTACTACTAGGATTACCTTGCCAAGAAAGCCTTTGTTCACACAGTTTCTGTGGCCTAAAGGAACTCACTTCTTATTCTGTATTTGCTTTGGGAAACTGAGCATTCAAACATCACCTCCTGACCTATACTGTTCAAGTCTCTTTATTTGGTTTTATTGATTTACACATAATGGCCATTACACTGTTTTACATATTTGCTTATACATCTCCTTCCTCTCACCTGCACTAGAAAATATTTGAAGCTTCTTGAGAACAAAGTCCGTGTCTTCCAACTTTGCATTCCTAACACCTAATACAGGGCTTGTCACATAACAGGTACAACATCAATATCTGTTATATACTCAACTGTGCAATAGTTAGTAGTTTGCTTGTTTTTTGCTACATTTCATCTTTTCAAGACAGGGACTACAATGTATCCCAAACTCCAGGATTGGACCTTTGCTTACATGAATGCAGAGCTGCAGTTCCAAACAAGCTGAAATGTAGAAATGTGATTACAAATTCAAGAAAGATAACAAAACAGTTAATGGAGATGCTTGGTAGTCCAGTGGAGGAAAAATGTGAAAGAATGACTGAAAATTACTCACAATGGCTGAGATGCTGCCTTTGGCAAACTGGGAAGAACACTGTAGGTGCTGCTTGTCAACAAGAACTTTAAATTCCTCCCTGGCCTAACCTGTCACCACAGTTCTTGCTAAAACACTGATCAAGAGTAAAGAGTATAAAATAGCTATATATAGTTAAAAATGTCTTTGCCCATAAGAAACACATTTACTACTAAATGAGGGCAAAATTTTATATGTCCATATAATATGAGGTAAAAAGTAAAATTAAAAATTAGTTATACCTTGTTTTATTGTGCTTTGCTTTATTGCACACTACAGCTATGTTTTTTACAAAACGAAGGCAAGACCCTCCACCAGCAAAAAAATCTCGACTTGCTTTATTGTGATGGTCTGGAACCAAACCTGTAATATCTCCAAGGTATGCCTGTACTATCTGAAAATGAGGTTAAATTTTTATCATTTTTTCCCTTCTTACCATGATGAATTTCATATTCTTTGGTTCCTTGTCCTTTAAATACTGCTAGACATGGCTGAAAGACATAGAGATTGCTACAGATGTCTGGTGCAGAGGAACAGTCAAACTTGCCAATCTAAATTAGAAAGAGAAGGTTCAATTTGAAAAAAATGAAATCTTATCCATCCAATTAAATATTTGCAAAGATAATCCCAAAATGACATTGCTCTACCAACACAGTTTCTAAACAGAAGTTAATGGGCTGTAAATATAAAAGATAGAAATAATTAATTTATATTTAACACTAAAACTCAATTTAGTAAAAGAAAAAGATTGCCTCCTAGAGAGTACAAAAGCCTGAGAAGAAATTTCCAAGATAATATAAAGTTGTTTAAGAAAGCCACTCTTCTAAAAATGGAGAGAATATTTATATAATTTTGGGGTGGGAGAGAAAGAAACCCTTTCCTGTGAGACCCCAGTAGCAGACAATAAAAAAAGTTGACATTTTTGTACATTGTGGAAGAAAACTAGTTATTTAAAATAAAACATAATTATGTATTAAATTAATAACAAAGCACACTAGCAGAAAGCTGGGAAGACTACGTTTTTCTTACTTGAATATGCTCATTTTTAAGTAGAGTCTTTAGTTTCTTCAACTCAGGATCATTTGAATTTCCATTTTTTCCAAAATGAAAAAATAAGAGCCATCGGTGATGAGCCAAACGATCCTTAAAAGAGATTTATAATGTTAAAAAGAAATTTTTAAGAGAGGAAATTCTAAGGATTCTTTCTTTTTTATTCTCTTGTATTTTTAATAATCCCATTTGTTATTTTAAAATAATGTTAGACATATTCATATTCTTATTTTGTAGTTTATTTGGAATAATTTATATAAATCAATTATATAAAAAAATTATAGATGAGTCACTACATTATAAAATGTTAAAGTAGACAACTGTATCTATGTGTGTGTGCGTGTGCATGTGTGTGTATGGTTTTAAACACATCTGGCTAAATGTTGAGAAGTAGGGGAATTCAGTTTTTTCAGATTTATCAAAATGTTTGGTAGGATTATAGATTTAGAAAGGTCTGGGATCAATAAGTAGAAAAAAATTGATTCTACTATAAATATTTCTAAAGATGCTTTGTAATTATCAGTGAATAATGTAAATAGTTCTGTAAGCAATATAAAGTTCCAAATTAGATCCAAAGTGGCTTTGTGACAAAAATCTTGCCTTTTCTGATACTCCTGAAGCTCTTTAGGACTGGTTAGATTTTACAAAACTACAGATCTTCCATATACCACCAGCTGCTCCAGCAATTAAAAGTTTAACCTAGAATTGACTGATATATAATCCTTTGAAACTGCTACTTTCTCTCTAGTGATGAATCAACCAAATGCTGACTTTAAAATATTAAGATTGAAATGTTCACAATATTATTTATTATTAAAAAAAAATTACCTCTAGTGTGTCTGCTGAAAGTAGTTCAAAATCTGGAAGATTATTCATTATTTCCAAATAGATTTCTTTAGCATCCAATGAATTAAGAAACTAGAATAAGAGAATCACATTGTAATCCTTTTAATGAATATCCATTTATTTTAGTGTCTTTGTTTTACTTTTGTTTCCATAGAAGAACTTTTAAGAAAAAAAGTCACAGAAGTTAAAACAGTTTTCATGCTATTTATTCTAAATGTTATCTTTTTCAAAAAGTATAATCATATTTCGGCAATTATTAAAAACTGTGTAACTGGGCTATTTCTTAAAACAAGTGATGGAAACCAAATTCCAGTATTAGGTGTTTTATTACCTGAAACTTTCTATTAACTGTTCTATAAATAATCCTTGCAATAACCTGGAGTGACTCTGAATCACGAGGAAGGACTTATATTATGTACAGTTCAGTTTTAATGTAAAGGTGTTTTATAGAATTGCCAACACTTTACACATTCTGTAAGATTTGATAAAACACTAGAATATTTGCCCTGGCCAGTGTGCTCAGTGGTTAGAGTGTTGGCCCTTGACTTTACACTTGGGTTGCTTGTTAGATCCACTGCGGACCTGGTTGGGGTGAGTGTGGGAGGCAACCAATTGATGTCTCTCTCTTCTTCCCTCTCTAAAAATCAATAGAAAAAATATCGTTGGGTGAGGAGTAACAAACAAACAAACAAAGAAAATACTAGAATATCTGATGATTCAAGACACTTCCATACTCCAACCAATAATTAATAGAAATTAATATAAGAACTTATAATTGGAAAATTACAATGGACCTTGTTTATTATAGAGGTTTTCAGAAATAATGTTCAAAAAACCAAATTACCTACGAATTTTACAGAATAAACTTTACTGATAAAGATCTTATTTTAAATATGTTTTAGATCTAGGTCTCTTATTTAAAACAAACAACTGAAGAAGGCACACCTCCATTCTAACACATGTCCTTTAGTTCTGTCTATATTTCATCCTCAGCATATTTTTCTTACAGAGCTCTCTGTTGGTCTAATTCTCAATGAAGCAGCTGCTACTACAAAGAGTGCAGCAATGGTTATATCAAGAGAATGTATTTTGGTTGACAAAACAGTTTAATATATATCTTTAATTACAATGTTTGATAATTCAAATATTACTTGAAAGATCTAAAATTCCATTAAAAATTTGTGGGAACTACCACTGTATTCACAGCTTGATACGAGAATAATCATATGGATAGAAACAATGGAAATAAGAACAGAAAACTCGGTTCTTCCCCTGAAAACTATCCATAAGCATAAATATTCTCAAAGCTCTATATGAAATATTTTCTGTTCCCAAAGCCTGAAGAGGCCAAAACAGAATTCTTTCATGCCTCCCAGAGCTCATTCACTTTAGCAACATTCATTATGAAGATTTCACTAAAAACACTCCTAGAGCAACTTATAAATATAAGTGATGAATCCACTAGAACCTCATTATAAACTTGTCTTAGTATAAAACTTGGTAGTTGTATCAATAAATGAATATTGTCCAGTCACTGAATTTCCCCTTCCAGACATATTTAGCTGGCATAGTGGCTTACATTTTTTTAAACTTGAAGGAGGGACAAAGACTTTATCACTCCTGGTTATTACATTTCCAGTATCACTCATTTATGTTTCCTAAGATTGCATCTGAGCTTGCAGTTTATTTAAAAAAGCCCAAAGATCTCACTAAAGTATGAGGTTGTATGTTACTAAAGGTAAGACCCTATATTAACTATTGGCTAGGGCACAGGCAAACCTCATGAACTGATGGCACAGGGTAAACAAACACAACTTTCTGTAGAGCAATCTGGCAATATCATTTGAATTTAACGTTGCCGCAGTTATCTCATTCTAAACAGATAACTGAATGAAAAACAAAACAAGATTGTTCATTACACTGCTTATAATCCTAAAAAGTAGAAACAACTTAAATATCTATTAAGATAGGATTGATTAAACTATGTAAACTAAGAATGACACCTTTAGTCAAAGAATTACTGTCCAGGGATTGTTGGTAACTATTATATATATAAGGGGTTGGCAAAAATAGACTTACTGTTATAATACAAATAATACAATGATTAATAAATAATACAATAAGCTCTTTTGCATGCTCACAACTGTAAACCTGTGCACGTGTATATATATATATATTTTTTACAATATATATATATTATTTATGAAATATATATGTATTTCATCAACCGAGATGGGGAAAACTATAGGCAGAGATTTGTTAGGGACTATCAGGAGTATAGTTATAGACATCTAAATTTGAGAGATCAATTAATATCCCAGAAGAGAGGTTGAGTAGGCAGTAGGATATAGTACATGTCTGGGTGGAGGACAGAGATCTAGGCCACAGATAAAACTGGAGTTATCAGCACCAAGTCAATGTATACACACCTAAGTTGAGATCTGGAAGGATATTTAACAAAATTTGATGGTGCTGGTCTATTGGTGATTTGGTTTTAGTAAATTTTGCATCTTTCTTCACCATATATGAATTTTTGGAGTGAATATGTATGTTTACCAATATAAAAAAAAAGAGTAAAATACAGAAAAAAAAAACTAAAGGAAGTTCGTTCTTTATTATAGTATTTTATGTTGTTTGGGGTTTCCTAGGAACCTGTCTGATGTCCCATTGTGGATCCCAACTCCTTGACAACTACCTTGACCCTCAGTTTCCTCATTCATAAAATTAGGGAGATGAACCACACCAATAGTTCTCCAAACTGAGTTTATCATAATCTAACAGGGTGCTTAAAAAAAAAGATACTGGGTTCCAACCAAACCTACAAATGATATGTATTTTAATATCAGAAAATATACAAATAAATAGAAACCAATGAAAATTTAACCCAAGAATATATTCCATACCTTTGGGGTTTGAAAGTGTAACAGTTTATGTCAGTCAAAAATAATTCTTATAGCAGACTTTACAAACTGAAGTACATATTAAACAGAATCCCAGAGCCCTGGCCAGTTTGGCTTAGCGGTTAGAGCGTCGGCCTGCGGTCTGGAGAGACCCGGGTTCGGTTCCCGCTAAGGGCACGTACTTCGGTTGCAGTTTGTCCCCGGCCCTGGTTGGTCGTGCGGGTGGCAGCCACTCGATGTGTCCCTTCACGTCGATGTTTCTCTCTCTCTCTCCTTCCTCTCTCTCCCTCCCACTCTATCTGTACAAAAAATGGAAAAATATCCTCGGGTGAGGATAAAAAAAAAAAAGAATATAAACAGAATCCCAGAAATTTAATTTGTTCTAAATTATTAAATGTTCTACATTCAAATGATATAAACAAATTCGTTTTCTTGCTCATTGTTTACAAAGTATTTAAATGTGTGCATTTAAAGAAATGAAAATGATTCATACCAAAACATTGCTTTTCTCTTTGTTATTTAAAGTGGCTCCAGGAGGAAAATAGGCAGTAGTACTTGTTGTAATATCCAAACTTGTACAAAGGTTGGCCTGGGTGGCACAGTCCATCCATCCTACATTAACAAGACCATCCTAAAATGGAAAGAAAAAAACATATAGGTCATGTTGCAAGTGGAAGAAAAAGATAAAGGGATTTGGCAAAAACACTACTTTTCTATTGTAAATTAAACTGTTTTTTAAAAAACACCCAAAAAATGATACAAATTTGAATAACATGATTAATGTTACTAATAATGATGCTTTAAATTTAATATTGTTATTCATATTCATAACAATTAAAATTTGATCTAATATATAAAAATTACATTAACTTACATAGAAAACACTATTTATCAATATACATAGAACTCATAATTTCTGTAACTGGTAAACTCCCAACCCAAAAAGGGAGCTTCAACAACAAAGACTACTCCCTAACCATAATATGATGAGAGCTAAATAAATAACAAAAGAACAAAACAAAACAAAAAATAAAGTTTGGGAATGACAAACACACTAATATGTAACTCTTTGGTTCAAGAGGACTTCACAATTAAATTTCAGAATACTCAGCAGTGAATGACAACAAAAGCACCACATGTCAACATGTAGTGAACACAGCTAATTATCAGACACCTACAGTTATGAATACATTTGTCAGAAAACAAGAAAGATTACAAATAAGTGAGTTAAGTAGTCAAGAAACTACCAAAGACAATATCTGGAATTTGTTTTTAAATGTGTTTTTTTTTTTTTTTAACATGGCTATAGTCTTACAAAATAACTGATGCTTACCAACATGCCACTAAGCCTGAGACGTGTCTGTGAGGTCAAACAATCTAGAGGGAAAAAAAATAGCAAGCAATTTCAGCTTTATTAAGTGTATACTTTCAGTTGCCTTTTCACCAAATTATCATGTTGATTCTAAGGCAATTAATTGAGCTCTACTGGTAAATATTGAAACCTTTATTTACTAGGTAGATACTGTGCTCAAAGTCTCATTTTACACATGTAACTGATTCTTTCTTCTCTCTCTCTCGTTCTTTTATTCTCTCCCTTTGGTTTTCCATGATTTCTAGCTAAAGAGAAAAGGAGTAATTTTCTCTCAAGCATTCCTTTAGGATCTTTCTCCCAAATCTCTCCTCCTATCAATTATCCCCTTTACCTAAGATATCACATAATTTGGGGGAAATAACGAGTAATGAACCTATTTGATACAATTATGTAAAAAATCCTTAAAATAAAATAGCTTCTTCACTATTTATATAATAGTTCTGTAAATATGACTACCTGGGACTAAATGAGATAAATTTAGAAGAAAGGGAGCTGTAGCATCACAGAGCCTATAGAGATAGGTAAAATCTCTAGTTCTAAAAGTGTTCTTCATATGCAGTAGGCCAAAATGAGACAAACTCCTTAAGGGTCGACTAAATTTAAGAGTGATTTTATTTTCAAGGCAATACCTCTTCAACATAGCAGCATAAAGGCTGAGAGGTGAAGTGTCAGGACAAGATCTGTGTTGGGATTAAACATATGAAAATATATTAATAAATTAGGATATTCTGTAATCCTGGGACCAATTCTTAACCAATGTCACTGCTTGAATACAGTTTACAGTTTGTGGTTTGGTATGCAGCGTACTGAATTTTCAACTTACTCTACTGGGGAAAGGTTGCTAGAAATAGAAAGTTGTTATCTTCAGATATGTAATTTTATGAGGTAAACATATATCATGTATACATTTTCATATGTATTAAGTGTAAGACCAAGTCAGTAAATTATTATTTTGGGAGGATTGTATTGTAAATGACTATTTTTGCAAACTGTCAAATACTTCTGTGGCTATCTAAATGTACCATTTATTGTGAATATAATTAGGTTGGAAAACTTGCCCACCAAATAGATACCATAAATACTTCAAGAAATTAATAATTTTAAAACCTCTTACATGTAAATGGTAAAAAGATAAATATTTATTAAATAAAAAATTATAGCCTTGGACATAAATTGTAGTTTGAAGCACTTAATCAATTATAGTAACATACTTAGGATGGTCACCTAGTCTAAGATTACACACTTCCAGTTATAAGATTAACAAGTCTTGGGGATCTAATGTACACCATATACCGATAGTATATTATATACGTGAAATTTGCTGAGCGTTGATCAGGATGGAGGGATTAGTTAATGCTATCGTGGTAAGGTAATCACTCTGTAAATCATCAAATCAACATGTTGTACACAATGCTATTCAATTCTATCTCAATAAAGCTGAAAAAGTAAAAACAACAACAACAACAAAAACCCGTCATTTAAAAATTGTATGTCACAGTCCTCATGTATAACAAAATAATGAATAAAATTACCTCCTCCTTTGGAACAAAAAGTTATCAGCCAGCCAATACCAGCAGCAAAAGCAGTTTGTATGGCGTTAACAAAATTTCCTTAAAAGAAAATAAAGCAAATGTCTGATCACTTATTACTTGATAATGAAAATTGTTTACTAAGTGTGTTTTCCTTCTAATGCCATCCTCTTCCAATCCACTCTGAGTAGTATTCAGGATTTCCTAAAAATCCTCTTGAGCATGTGAAATTCATTCATTGGCTCTCCATTTTTTACATCACATAAAATCTAAATTCATTATTTCATTAAGAAACTCAAATTGGTGCCCTGGCCGGTTTGGCTCAGCGGTTAGAGCGTCGGCCTGCGGTCCAGAGAGACCTGGGTTCGGTTCCCGCTAAGGGCACGTACCTCGGTTGCAGTTTGTCCCCAGCCCTGGTCGGTTGTGCGGGTGGCAGCCACTCGATGTGTTCCTTTCACATCGATGTTTCTCTCTCTCTCTCTGTTCCTCTCTCTCCCTCCCACTCTACCTGAACAAAAAATGGAAAAAAAAAAAAAAAGAAACTCAAATTGGTAAGGCCCCTTCTGATCTGAGCTTTGTCTACCCATTCACAAGCCATATGACCCCATGACACTCCATGGCATTATTCATCCTTTTGTTTGAGTCATGAAGTACTGCCAGTTCCCCAAATACACAGTGAAACTTTAAGGTAACTCTTCCCTTTCATGGCAGATTGGGTCTGAATTCATTCCAGAATATTTTCTAACCTTTCCTCTTTTGCACACCTGAGTGTTCATATCCTTCATACTTCCCCAAGTTTACCTTTAGTATAATAATTACTATGTTGAATTTTAATGGTTTACTAGTGCCTTCCTCAATAAAATAATGAGGTCCCTGAAGTCAGGGATTATTAATTTTATTACTGAGCCCATTATTTAACATAGCTTCAGAGACAAAACTGGTATTCAATAAATTAGATATGAATACCATCATTTCATGAGTAATACACAGCAGTTAAATAACCCACCTAAAGTCACTTGATGAATTAAAAGCCTAAAATTAAATGAGTTTTTAAACTTTAAAATTAAACTGGATAGACATCAATTTACTGCTTGATATAGTATACTTATAAAAGCAATAAAACACCTGAAATTTGCCTTTTCATCTAGCCCCGCCTCATATCTATTTCTCATATCTGTATTGTTTTAGTTTCTTCTGTACACATATAGTTCATTTGTTAAATGTCTACTATTTAGTAGAGGTCGAAGCAAATGACACAATTCCCTTCTAAAAAAGCATGAAAATATTTTGAAAGTTCAATATTATTACCAAAATATTAATATTAGCACTGAAAAACTTAAATATCAATTTCAAAGTAGCCTTAAAAATCAAGCAAATTAAGAAAAGAAAATTACCTGCCCATAATTCTGTTACTGTACTTCTAACATGCTGCATGGCGAAACTCACTAAACTTTCCTTTGATCTGTCACCATGGTATTTCACTGCAGCCTATTTTTTTTTTAAACAAAAAGAGAAACATTTTTTTACAACCCGTTAAAAATAATACCAAATATTTTTGATTCTACATTATTTTGGAAAAATACAATAAGATCTGTTTCTCAAATGTACAATGTATTTCCAAAAGATATTCTGAAAATCTTGACTGTATAGATTTTATGGGAGACATTTTAATAAAAATATTTTAGTTTCAGTTTTATCACTTAAAATGGGGGAAACAAAGGGATATCAAAATCTTGTATCAAAGAGACAATACCTGAAAATACTTTGTATACTATAAAGTAGAATATGCATATAGGTTATATTATATTAAGATAGAAACTGAGCCCTGGCCGGTTTGGCTCAGTGGTTGGAGCATCAGCCTGCGGACCGGAGAGTTCCGGGTTTGGTTCCCGCTAGGGGCACGTACCAAAAAAAGATAGAAACTGAAATTGGTAAACATTTAATTTTGAAAGTAGTTAATCATTGAACAGTGTGGGTTTGAACTGCACGGGTCCACTTCTATTTGGAATTTTTTCAATTGGCCCATTCAGTTTAACTGTCCGCAGTTCAAACCTCTACTCTTGAAGGGTCAAACAGAGGTTGGGAATCCGTGTATGTGGAATGCTCACTTGAATTATGCACACTTTTTTTAGAGGTGCCACTAACCTCCATGTTATTATTCAAGGGTCAACTGTAATGGCATCTATAAGTATTCATAATATCCAAAATGTTTATGAAGTTGAGAGCCTAGTTATATGGCACCAAAAATAAGATTTAAATATCAAAACATCCTACAAAATCTTATATTTTATCTAGTATTTTCCTTGTTATAAAGTTACCCAAATTAAAAACTGCTAACTTTATCCCTTACCATTCCAGACCTAAAAATGAAGAGGCTGGGATAACTGTTCACTCCTTTCATTCGGCAAAGCATCCTATCATCACCACAGTTAACGGCTCCAATTCGAAGTAATCCATCCACTTCTTTAGCAAAGTCTCTCCACTAGGAGAAAAAAAGAAAACAAGTATTTCTCTGAACACATCCCTTGAACATACTTCAAGCTACACTTTCTTAAAGACTATTTTTAGCAAATAAAACCACAAGTATGTGAAAATATATAATAATTTCTAATAGTTATAATTGCTATTAATAGAAAAATCCCAATATATTAAAAAATTCAAATAACAGATCAATTAGAAATAATAAAACTTTAATAATCAGGATATAAAATATACATACTGTGGGAGCTAAATCATGGCAGTGTGAACATCCTGGAGAGTAAAAGTTCACAAACCACAGTTCTCCAGAATTAACAGCAACATCTAAAAGTACATGAAACCAAAACAACTTAGAACAATTTACTAAGTTCTGTGCATATTTTGATTTAAAGATTTTTGTTGAGATCAGAAAGAAAAAAGCTAGTCATACATCATTCATACTGCATTTATCAATCATTTTCTGTACAATTGTTAAGAAAATGTATTTCAACTGTCAAATAGTACCTTTAAAAAAAAAAAAAAAAACCTCTTCAAAGCCCACACTTGTATAAGAAGGAGTAGCATTGAACTGCTTAAATACCACATCACCATGAAGCTGTAAAAAGACAGGAAGCAACAGCCAAACCCCACACAAGAGTTTGTGTGGATGAGAGAAATGAAGAGAAACAGAGAGAGACAGACCGAGATTTAAGCTCTTCTACTATCTGCAGCGTAGGTTAAACACGGGGCCAATAAATTCTTACAGCTACTTCAAATTCTGAAAGAATGAAATAAGAGACCTCCATGATATAGTAAGGACTCTGGGGTTCAATTTAATCTTTGCCCTTAAGAATTTGCCTTGGAAAAATGCGTTATGTGAAAAGCATCAAAATTATTAACAATTATAAACTCATATTTTGTAAAATAACAGATCTGAATACCATATAATGTCTAGCCAACAATACATTCATTGTAGATTATAATCTATAAGATAAACTTATACAAGTCAACAAAATTTTTAACACTGTGCTCTAAAATTTAAGATAAAAAGGTGAAGACTATTTGCTTTTGGTTTTAATTCCGTATCAAAATCAGTGAGTTTTTAAATAAAATTTTCATAGTTTATAGTAAATATAGCAAGAGATAAAAACATGCATACTATTCTAAGTATATGTAACTGATTCAGGTTATTTAATAACATGTGTAGGACTCAATGTTCACCTACATTTCAATTACAAGATACACAAGCCTATGGGAAGCACAGTTAATCCATACATTACAGACAAGGTGTATGATTTAGGATTTTATCAGCTGTTCTTTGGCAATGTTTAGAAAGTATGAAAAACAGACCTCTCTATCTAGGTAGTCAAAATAATTGCCATGTTTATTTAGATCACGAACTGGTACTAATTTAGGTGAAATTTTAACAGTACAAATTTTAATAGAAATGGGATATTTCATTAGCTATTAACAAGTAATGAAGTGGTTATTTACATATAAAAAGAGAACAATTAAATAAGTATTATTGTTTGTTAAGTCTTAAAAATATGATGCACAACAAATCTAAATGGCATCAAATTTGATATGAAACCTTTTTTACAGTAAATATGTCCTCTATCTTCGTACTTTGATTTCATAGAGACTTTAACATATTTACGCAGTTCCCACTGTTGTTGAATAAGGTTAAAAATGTTTTTGATAGTGTATTATTAAAACTCAGTGGGATGTTTTTGTCCAACCCAGTGACCCAGAATACAACAAATATATTTCAAAATAAAATTTTTTTTGCTTCAAAACTAAACAACTACACATCTAAGTGAAATCTTACGGTATTTGCCTTTCTCTGTTTGATCTATTTCACTTAGCACAGTATCCTGTAAGTCCATCCATATTGCTGCAAATGATAAGGCTTCATTCTTTTTTATGGCTGAGCACTACTATTCCATTGTATATACGTACTTCATCTTTATACATTGTCTTTTGATTGGAACATTTAATCCATTTACATTTAAAATAATTATTGATAGGTATGCAGTTATTGCCATTTAATTGTTTTCTGATTGTTTTTGTAGTTCTTCTCTGTTCCTTTCTTATTTTCTTGCACTCTTCCCTTGTTTGTTGATTACTTCTGTAATGTTGTGTTCGGATTCCTTTTTCTTTATTTCTTGTATATCTCTCATAGATTTTTGATTTGTGGTTACCATGTGCTTCATATATACTGAGCTAGATTTACAGCAATCTATTTTAAGTTGGCTGTTGCTTCAGTTCAAACATGTTTTACACTCATTACCACTTTTACTTACCCCACCACATTTTTGTTGTCATTATTTTTTACTTCTTTTGTGTGTATCCCTTAATTTACTATTATAATTACACATGATTTTCCTACCTTTGCCTTTTTTTTTTAAATCCTCACCTGAGGACTTTTTTGCATTTACCTTCAGATAAAGTGGGGGGGGGGGCATTGATGTGAGAGAGACACACTGAGTGGTTACACCCACACACCCCCAACCAGGGCCAGGGACAAACTGCAAACGAGGTACATGCCCTTAGCAGGAACCAAACCCGGGGCTTTCCGGTCCCAGGCCGATGCTCTAACTGCTGAGCCAAACCAGCCAGGGCCTACCTTTGCCTTTTAATCTTCTGTACTAGCTTTAGTGTTGGTTGATCCACTGCTTTTATTATGCATTTGCCTTTGTCAGTGAATTTTTTCCTCTGTGGTGTATTTTCTTATTCATAGTTATGATTCCCCCACTTCTTGAAAAGGTCCTTTTAAAATATTTCTTGCGCCCTGGCTGGTTTGGCTCAGCAGTTGGAGTGTCGGCCTGCAGACCAGAGAGTTCAGGGTTTGTTCCCGCTAGGGGCAGGTACCAAAAGACAAACGATTTCTTGTAAAATTGGTTGGGTAGTGATGAACTCCTTTAGTTTTTCCTTGTCCAGGAAGCTCTTTATTTCTCCTTCCATTCTAAATAATGGCTTTCTAAAGAGTAATCTTGGTTGTAGGTCCTTGCTTTTCATCACTATTTTATGCAATCCCTTCTGAACTACAAAATTTTTGTTGAGAAATCAGCTGACGGTTTTAGGGAGTTCCCTTGTAGATAACTGCTTTCTCTTGATGTTTTTAAAATTGTTTTTAACCTTTGGTATTTTAATTATATCTTGGTGTGGATCTTTTTGTGTTCATCTTGTTTGGGACTCTCTGCGCTTCCTTAACTTGTATGCTTATTTCCTTTGCCACTTTAGGGAAGTTTCTAGTCATTAGTTCTTCAAATAGGTTTTCAATCCTTTGCTCTTTCTCTTTTCCTTCTGGTACCCCTATGATGAGAATGTTGTTACCCTTGATGATGACCCAAAGGTCCCATAAAATTATCCTCATTTGAAAAAATGTATTTTTACTGTCCTTATTGGGGCTGTGGAGTCCAGTGTGAGGCCGGGGCCCATTGCTCCTCAGTGGGGACCTCTGTGGCCAAGATATTCCTCTTGATTCTTAATCACCATGTGTAGGTGTATGACCAGCCTGTTTTTAGTCTCTACCCCTCCTACCAGTCTCAACGTGGCTTCTTTATAGGGCTTCTGTTCAGCTAGTTTTCAGGTGTTTTGCAAGGATGGCTGTTTTATAATTTAGTTGTAATTTTGAATGGTCATGCGAACATGCGAGTATAGTCTTTACCTACTCTGCCACCTTGATTGGAAGTCCGATGAAAACATTTTTTAATCCTTACCCCGAAGACATTTTTTGCATTTATCTTCAGACAGAGTGGGAGGGAGAAAGGCAGAGAAACATTGATGTGAGAGAGACACATCGACTGGTTGCCACCCACACAACCCCAACTGGGGCCGGGAACAAACTGCAACCAAGGTACGTGCCCTTAGCGGGAACCGAACCTGGGTCTCTCTGGTCCTCAGGCCAACGCTCTAACCACTGAGCAAAACTAGTCAGGGCCTGATGAAAACATTTTAAAGCTTTCAAAGTGGAGTTTATTAATCACATTTTCTCCTCTACACTACAGTTGAACATTCTAGAATTTCACTCTTGATAAAAACAAGACTTGGACTAACTTTCCCACTATAACTGCAGAACTAAACAAAATATACATGATTTCTGTTGAAAGCATCTGAGTTAGCAATGTAGTGAAGAATTAGGGGACAAGATATGAGAGACAGTAGAAATCAGAGGGTCAATGTCTGCCACCTCTAGAAGTAGTAGTTGACAGGTAAGAAACTGAGCAGAACTTTCAATAGAATCATGAGGCTAGAGGGACAAAAACAGAATTCAGGGCACATGTAAGGAAGGGTATTATAAATAAAAATGAATGAGAGAATAACCAGTCTTCTTAAAATCCAAAGGTCAGCTTCTAAATCATTTCAATCTCTGTTTGGCAAAGCTGATCTGAGACCTAGCCAGAAGAAAGCATAACCTTCTTCTGGAGGAAGAGTACATAACTTTAAAATAACATAACTTGATATAATCAGATATACAAAAGATAAGACTAAGCAACCAAACCAATAGAAACAACTGATAATGGAAAAGGGACCCATAACCAAGTACACTAATGTGATATTTACATAAGTACAAATTGATAATACTCTCTATGCTTGCTATTTTCCCTTGGCTTCTTCAACTAAAACTTCATCCTCAGCTTGTTATAGTGCAGTAATATGAAGAGTAATATTAAGGATCAGATGGAATGGTGGCAACTTTGTTGTCTTCCAACTTTTATCCTCTATGCATATATGTATACCTTTTGCAGGATTTGTATTATACTGCACATACAATTTTGTTTTAGGCTTTTTTGCACTTAACATACTCTAGAATGTTGTAAAAACTTTTTCATAATGTGGAAAATACATAGAAAAAAGAATGATATTGTTCATTATAATTTCAAATGTGTCAATCATACACAAACACACATACATAAAATGTTGAGGATATTGCTTAATTAGCCCTTCCAAGATTTCCTTTCCTTACCTGTAAAATGTGACGAATTATTGTAGCTACTGCACAGGCATGTCATTAAAGTACATTCAGACAATGGAAGAAAAGTTAATGATGACGATACAATAAACTATGTAAAAATCTTAATTATGGTTATAGAACATTATTTAATATATAACATATACTATATAACCTGGCAAAAATTCCAAAAATTTCTAAATTCTAAATATATTTGTCCTCAAGAGTTTTAGATAAGAGATTGGTCTTGGGCTAATTTTAGAAAATTTTATGTCTGTAAACTTACCAAATTCTCTTCTGTCCAATGTTATGATTTCAGGATCATCATCATAAATACCTAATTTTAAAAGTATATAAAAATTATAAAATTAAAAATTCATCATAAAAGTAAATTGCCACATTAAAAATAGGTTACTTACTATTTTTTAATCATAAAAGACCAGATTACTATACTAAATCTCAAAGTTGAAAAATATGCAACAAACTATGAGAAAAGCCAAGAGTATACAAAATCACTGATAGTACATTTAAATAGTGATCAAGATATTAGTTTTCTGATATGGACTGTGTTTATGGGGTTCCTAATATTCACATAATTTCATCTCCTCAGAAAATTTATGTTTCTTAAACATTTTATTTGGAAATAGTTATAGACTTATAGGAAGTTGTAAAAAATAGTAGACTTTCATGTACCGTTTACCCAGCTTCCCCTAATGGTGACATGTTATATAGTTTTAGTATAATATCCAAACCAGGAAATTGATGCGGTACATTACTGTTAACTAGACTACGGACCTCATTTATTTTTCAATTATGATTTTAATAAGTGGTATCATTTTAAATTATATTCTATGGCTGAAAGTCTTATAGTTAAAATATTTACTGAGGTAGACACACATTTGTTAAGTATAAATTTTATTTACCGTAATAATTAAAATCAATGTGACAAAATTTCTCATTACTATTATAAAATATCCAAATAATATTAGAGATGGATATAGACCAAGAGTCAGCAAACTTTTTCTGCAGAGGCCAGTTAGTAAATATTTCAGGTTTTGTGAGACAATTTCTGTCACAACTACTCAACCCTGCCCCTGAAGTGTGAAAGAAGCCACAGACAGTATGTAAATAAATGACATAACTGTACAGGGTATAATTCAGAAACATTGCGGGTTTGGTTCCAGACCCCAGCAATAAAGCCAGTATCAAAGCAAGCTGTAATCTTTTTGCTGGTAGAAGGTTTTGCCTCCAATTTGTAAAAAATGCAAGACCTGCAAATCTCAATAAAATGAAGTATGCTTGTATCCAAAAAAACTTTTTTATAAAAACAGGTGGCAGGCTAGATTTAGACTGAAATGCAAATTGCTGACACCGATATAGACTGTTGTGAATATACCTGAAAATAATACTTTGAAAAGAAAGTTAGTCTTGAGAAACAAATACAATAGTTATAAACTGAAAAGATTTTTAGTCTAATATAAAAGCATACCTCAATTCTTAGCCTGCATTTGAGGCTAATTAATGATTTAATAGAAATATTGGGTACTTGATACCTGTGTTTACTCCCTCCTTCCCTTGACTTTTACTTGTTTACTCTCTCTGTTCTTGCCTCATTTCTTATTCCTGTCAACAACGTAAATCATATTAAAGATGGCATTTCTACTGAAGTGACCACTATTAAAAGAAACCTTAGCTCTTTTTGGAAAATATGATGCGCTAAAAATCTTGAAAGGCTTCAATATTTAACTTCTAGTGCAAATATTTTAAAATTAAATAGTACTCCTAATTTTAAAAGTATTTCACAAGATTATGACCTAAACACTTTCATATCTGTGCAGGTAACAGTTACCACCCGACTTTCCTTTTGAATTACACATCAATGTTACATTAAAAAGAGTCAAGGTGACAAGGTGACATATTAACTACATAAGCTAAGTGGTGAAACAAAATTAATTTTCTAAATTTACCCAAATAAAAAATAAGAATTTCATAAGGAATATCATCTTACCAAAATCATAACGATAGTAATTCCAGCTTTCATACTGGCCTCCTTCTTGATTATCTGCAAGTCCCTTTTCTCCGTATTTGTCATACTTTTTCCGCAGATCTTCATCTTTGAGTACTTCATATGCTCTATTTATTTTTAAAAAATCACTATGTGCATTTGGGTTGTTCTATTAAAAAATATTAGATATAACATTTACTTCAGATACATTATGAAGTCTCTTCAGAACCTGTATCTAGATTTAATTTAATCCTGAGATTTCTGGGAGAACAGATATCCAAGTAAGGAGGAGTTGTACAATATGAAGTGGGTTATCATGGGTTCAAATAAAAAAGGATTTTTAAAGAACTTCAATCTTAAAAACTAAGTAAAAGAGAAATGAGAACTGGTGCCTCAAAAGACTGATAGATGTGATTATACAGTGTAAGTCATTCCTTCTAAGAAATGCAACTGAGAAAAAACTGACTAATGAATCCTTGGAAAGCCAAAGGATTTCAAAGAAATTTGAAAGTTATTTTTCTATCTGAGGCAAAACTAATATATAACTTAAAAAAGTATGTACCACAATTCATCAGATAATTAAATAAAAACTAAGATCAGAGTAACAACTTAAACCTGGATTGGAAATATTCCTTATTTGTTACTATTTCAAAGCACTGGTTTTTGAAGAATGCTTTCATCTAAATAAGACTTAATTGTAGAAGGTCTACCACCTTTCATATGGAAACTTAAAAAAAATTACATTCTGAAATTTTAAAGAAAAATAAAAGAATAAGTATCCTATAAACAGTAGGCTATAGGTTCCAGGGAAAGATTAGCAAGTAAAGAGAATTTTATAAAAATATAGATTCTAGTACTCAGCATTAGCAATCAAATAAAATAATCCCTTTTTAAAAAATTCTATCTAGCCCTGGCCGGTTTGGCTCAGCGGTTAGAGCGTCCGCCTGCGGTCCGGAGAGACCCGGGTTCGGTTCCCGCTAAGGGCATGTACCTTGGTTGCAGTTTGTCCCTGGCACTGGTTGGTCGTGCGGGTGGCAGCCACTCGATGTGTCCCTTTCACATCGATGTTTCCCTCTCTCTCTCTTCCTCTCTCTCCCTCCCACTCTGTCTGTACAAAAATGGAAAAATGTCCTCGGGTGAGGATAAAAAAAAATAAAAAAATAAAAAAAAAATTCTATCTAGAAAATAGAACATAACCATATCTTTTTCCTTGAAGAGTGTCAAATCTCAATAAAAAATTAGGTGATTTATAAAAATACCATAAGAATTAAAACTAATTTAGTTTTGAAAGATTACATCATTGAATACATAATCAAATATTTATGATTGGAATTAACTGGATTTGGCTGTTCTCAAGTTTTATTTATAATACTTCCTGAATCTGGTCCTAGATTTGTATATGGGAGAAAATAGTAAAAGTCGAGCATACTATTAATAGCCTGCTATTATTGCCATTTTTACCAAGACGAGTTCTTTAAGGAAATAGAACTGCTCGAAAATACTTTATTTTAACCCACTATACTAAGAAAATACTTCACAGACACAACTGTCTGCTTTGGGATTTACATCTATAATAGAACTGTTGGAAATTTAGTTTTCAAATTAAGAGGAAATTGCAGTTTTTGTACTGACATTCCTTTATACTGTTCTAAACAAGAACATTTTGCTTCTTCTGTTTTTAGTACATAAGTTGAATTACAATTTTTGACGTGATTGTTCTTGAGCATTTTGAGCATTTATTTATTTATGGAGGGGAGAGAGAGAAAGACAGAGAGAAGAGAGGGACAACATCGATGTAAGAGAGACACATTGATTGGCTGCCTCTGCATGCACTCTGACCAGGGCCAGGGATTGAACCTGCAACCCACGTACATGCCCTTGACCAGGAATCAAACCCATGACTCTCTGGTGTGCAGGTGGACGCTCTAACCACTGAACCACACCGGCCAAGGCAAGCACTTATTTAAAATAATTTAAGTAGCTATCCAAAGTCACTAAAATACATTAATCAGATATGTTTAAAAAGAAATTTTTACCTACCGGGTTTTTATCAGGATGAAGCTTCAATGCTAACTTCTTGAAAGCTTGTCTTATTTCTCTACTGCTTGCAGTTTTGGATACTCCAAGTAAACTGTAAAAATCCTGATCTGTGTCCACTAAAATGGCCATATACACTATTAGAAAACAGAGAATGACTCTTTTCAAGTCTCTGACATAGTCATCTTTATTCAACCAGACTCCCATTCTTTTTCTTATACAAGTTCTGATTTAAGTGAACATTAAGATACACCGCTGGTTCCAGTTGATGTAATATGCAAGACTGAGAACTTCTGTCCACATTATTCCAAGGGTGATTCAAACATCATGAAATTGTCTCCCAAAAGTCAATCTAAAGAGGAAACCAAGTAGTTAAAATACATTAAAAAAACACACACCCAAAACCCAGCAATAACACGATTTCTTAAATAACAATGGTTAGCAATACAATCTCCATTAAATAGCAAATCAGAGTGAGTGCCTCAGGCTCTATTCTTTGGGGACCCCTTTCGCTGCTTCCTATCCAGGTATCCAGATTTGTGAAATCACCCAAGATAGCAGGTAAAAGGTAGAAGCTAGTGTGTGGCTCTAGCTAGCTAGAACATTTACAAAACAAACTTAGCAATTTGTTCTGATCAGCACCAGAACACAAGGGCAGGGGGGACTGTTTCCTTCCTTTTTCTACGAAGCTCTAAGCATTGCCCTTTTGTTATATCACTTCCTTTCTGGCTACTTCTTCACTCCTTGAATGATATCCAGTTTTCATTTTAACCAAATTTCACCTGTAGACAATATTCTTTGGTGGGGACTAGAAGGAAGCACAGGTGCCTTCCAGAGGGTCCCATTTTCCATATAATCCTTACAAAAATGGCAGTGAATTTTTATTGTTGTAATAGACAACTTACATATTAGACCATTTTTCCCAAGTTTTTTTCAGAAGATTCTTACATTACATGTAAGTAGAGACTAGTTTATAAAAACAGAAAAGTAACTACAAGCTAGCAAAGTTTATGTTTGGTAGAAATACAAATAGAAAAAGAAAAAAAGAAGAGAATTAGTTATTCAGACATGCCCACCTTGTGTAGGAGAAAAATAAAATCAGATCACAAGTTTAAGTATACTTTCCTTCCAAAGATCTCCTAACGCTTCGAAAAAGCTAACTTTCCTAGCATCCTCACGTTCTTTCTTCATTTAATCCTAAATGTCCATTTAAAATGTCTGTCCTTACCTGTGAATGGCCCTTGACTCATTTCTAATCCCTCCTTTCCATTCCACCAAAAAATACCTTTGTAAAATACAGTGATGGCTATTAACAAGTATCCAGCCTAGAAAACAAGGGTTAGGAAAAGACGGAGAACATATTCTCACACCCCTTTGGGTCAAGCGGTGCTCCCTGCCTAGCAGCTCTCGGCGTGCGTGTGTGACTTGCTCTGTGCTGAGCAAATGCAACACGCACACCTTCCTGCAGCTATCACTCCAGACTGGGATGCGAGGCCGGGGAAAGGATGGAGACCGTGGGTTACAGGGGGTCAAGTGTGAAGTCTCTGGCCTCGAAAGGGAGAAAAGAGCCCGAGTCACCGAAGCTCAAGTGAGAAACTGGAGCAAGCAGCGGGGAACGGCTGGCGGGAAGAAGGTGGTGTAGGTAACGGGGAAAAGGGGAGCGCGAACACAGTTAACCGGCCGCCCAGCGAAAAGGGTTCACATTCAGGCGCAGGGCAGTCCCGCCCTCCCTTCAAAGAGGGCCCGGGGCGCGCCGCTCCAGCCGAGCCCCGGCCCATGCCCACCTCGGTGCTGCCGGGCCGGCTCCAGCAGCTACGCCCCCATCCTCAGTCTCCGCGCGCAGCCGGGCGTGCGGCAGGCCAGCACCCAGTCTCTGACCGCCGGCGCCGCGCTCGGGACGGGCGGAGAGGCGCACCGGCAGCAGCAAGCGCGGCCCCCTCCAGTCGGCTCCTCGCGCGCCGGTCTCCGGGCGAGCAGGGGCGGGGCCTGGCGCGGGGCACTGTGGGAAAGGCGTGGCGCGCTCCGCCTGAAAGGACGCCGCCGGCCGGGGTGCGCGGCGGCGGCGGGGTGGGGAGGGCGGTGTAGGTTTAGGTTGACGTGGCGGTCGGCGCGGAATCCGGCTCCGGCTCCAACCCGGAGCTGAGGGACACGCCATAACCGCAAAGTCCGCACCCCCGCACTTAGGGGACGGGCGCCTGCCGAGGGCCGGAGGCGGTACCCTGAAGTTCGCCCCTTTCTGCTCCTGTTGCTATGGTGACGGGGAAACCCGGAGGGCGGGTTCGGGCGTGCGATTTTCCTGTTCTTAAAGGGAAGGCCGGTCTGCGGAGCTTTCTCTGGTGGGTGGGGCAGAAAGGGGAAATTTTGCAAGGAAAATGAAAGCTTGGGCCTTGGCCTGGTTGCTCAGTTGGTTAGAGCGTTGTTCCCATACACTAAGGTTGAGGGTTCAATCCCCCGTCAGGGCACTGGGAGAAGCAGCCAATGAATGCTTAAATAAATGGAACAACAAAATTGATCTCTCTCTCTCAGGGAAAAAAAGGAAAGCTTGACTGATGTGACACTGATTTCAATGTCAGACTAGAGGTTGCAGAGGCAGTGCTTTCCCCTCCTCACCTCTGATTCCAGCCATTTACATAAGAAACCCTGGTTCTTTGCAGAATGATATTTAGATAGCAAGACCCAGGTGCTAGGCACGGCCCATGCTGTTGAAATGCTGTTACTTACTTACTTACATACATGCCTTTTCAGTGATAGAGGTAGGGACTATATGTACATGCACACACACATACCGAGATTCATATTTACATATTTATGAAACTGAGTTTACACCAAAACTTTCAATTCCAATGTAATGGTACAGGAGTCATTCCATTCATTCTAGTTTTCTCCTTTCCACATAGGTAGCTCCTTTCCCTGACAAAGAAAAACCTGTTTCCAGTTATCCTTGCTGTATATGTACTTAACTTGCAATCCTCTGGTATGTAACCAATCTCCCATTGCTGATGCTAGTCCCTCTCCTGTGCAGTTGCCCTCCTCATCCTGCTTGGGTTCCCACACTTTATACTGGCCTGTTCTCAGCTGCTTCACTCAGGTTCCAACCTATGCCAGGCTGCCCTCCCACAGGAACACCCTGAAAGGCCCTTCTTTTACCTCTGCCCGGTGTGGACACACTCCTCCCCTTGGTTAGACTCTGATACTGTGCCTGCCCACTTAGTGGCTTTTGGTCTGAATTATTCAGGATGGGAAGGCCCATGATTATTTTTTAATAATCATGTAAACTATAGTTTGAAAAATGTATTGTAGGAGGCTGGTAGCAAATATAGGAAAACTGTCTATGAGAGTATTATAATGGACCAGGTGATAGATGATGATGGCTTGGACTAGGGGGGAGTTAGTTCATATAGAGAGAAACGAACAGATTAAAAAAAAAAATAGGTAATATGTGTAGGATTTGGTGATGAATTGGCCATGGTGGGGAAGAGAAAGATGTTTGAAGGTATGTCTCTACTTCAGATACTTGACATCAGGGATGTCCACTTGCTTCAGGGAAACCAAAGTGTTACCAGCCTCTGTAATAAATCAAAAGTTGCTACAACTGCTCGATCACATATGCATGAGATATGTTACAACAAAGGGACTGTTTTGTTTCATTTTTAGTTCCAGCTGGGGAATTGCTACTCATCTTTCAGGATCCAGTTCATGTTTCTTTTGATAAATAATTTTCTGTAAGCCAGTCAAGCATATTTGATCACTCCATCTTTTATTATTGCATTTATCACACCATAATGTAATTACATTTCATTTGTCCATTATAGTGAATTCTTTGAGATCAGGAATCCATATTTTTTGGTTTGCTTTGTAATACACTAATATTGGTTGTATCAAAAATCTGCTTTAAAGTACAATAGGACAATGAGATCTTGTTTTCCATGATTACAATTTGGGGCATTTCAAACACATTCCTTTGAAGACTTCCAATCAAGATGGCGGCGTACATAAATACGGTACTTGCTTTCTCCCACAACCTCATCAAAATTACAACTAAACTACAGAACAACTGTCATTCAGAACCACCTGAAACCTAGCTGAGTGGAAGTACTACAAATAGGGAATTAAAGAAGCAGCCACATGAAGACTGGTAGGAGGGGCAGAGATGTGGATTGTGCTGATCCCACACCCACATATTGCAGATGAAAATTGGGTGGGATATCGGTTGTGGAGGTCCACCTAGAAAAGCAAGGGGTCTCAGCCCCACACCAGACCCCCCATCACATGGTTCTAGTGCCAGGAAGGCAAGTCCCCATAACTTCCAGTGTAAAAACCAGGGGGAATTGAGGCTGAGGGAGACAGGGCTTCTGGAGTCTCAGGCAGTATCTCTCAAAGGGCCTGTGCAGGACTGAGACTCAATGTCTCTGAGCTCCAGCACTGGGGCAGTAGCTCAAAAGGCACCAGAGACATACGGGGAGGAACTGAATTGTCCAGCATCAGGGAGAGAGCTGGGGAGGGGGCAGCTTTCTCCCAGACAGAATTGCTGGCAGAAGCCATTGTTCCTTTGATGAAATCTTCCCAACAGGAATCAAATTTTATTTACTTTTTCTTCAATGCCTGGTTAGAACAGTGCTTGGCATCTATTCAATACATATATTATGATGAAATGAAGAATCAATATTTATTATGTGCAGAGAGGAAAGAATAGCTCTTTGTTCTTAAAGTCCTTATTGTCTAGCCTCAGGGGGAAGGATGTGAAGAACACACACATTCACATGTAGAAATATAAGTAATATCATGTTGAATGAATGATTTAAACAATATGTTCCATAGGGACTCAATTTTTGAGCTTTAATCCTCAAAGTAGAATGAGAGGACAGTATGGGTGTTTCTAAATAAAATATTAGAAATTTAGAACGAGATAGAAACTCTGAAGTCCCGCCTGGCCAGTGTGGCTCAGTGGTTGAGCATTGACCCATGCACCAAGAGGTCGCTGGTTCGATTCCTAGTCAGGGCACATGCCCAGGTTGTGGGCCCAATCCCCAGTGGGGGCATGCAGGAGGCGGCCAATCAGTGTTCTCTCTCATCAATGTTTCCATCTCTCTCTCCCTGTCCCTTCCCTCTTGCTAAAATCAATAAAGAAAAAAATATATATATATATAAAAAAAAGAAACTGAAGTTTCTTAAATTTATAGGGGAGGAAACCAAGGCCCAAGAAGATTGGTGTGTGTGACTTGCCTAAAGACACTCAAATTTATATGGTTGAAATGGAATATAACCTGTTTTCCTTTTTCTTAACCAGTGTGAAATGATAATGATAATCATACTAACTAAAACATACATATGCTTTATATTCCCAGGTACTATATCAAGCATGTTACTTATATTAACATATTTAATTGTTATAACAACTCTATGAAGTAAGTGCATTTATTATGTCAATTTTAGAGAAAACTGATGCTAAGAGAGGTTAATTTACTAGCCCAACATTGTGCAGTTAGTAATGGTAGAATTTGGATTCCAACCTGGGCAGTCTAGATATGGAGTCCATAAGGAATACCACAATCAGTTCATTGAAATATTTTTGACAGCATTTATTTAAACTAAGTAGAGTATTATTTTCATAGAGTTTTGTTTTCTAATAACACAATAACCTTTCATTCAAGCTTGATTGGGGGGGGGAATTATAATATTTTATTAGATCAAACCTAATTTGTAAAGACAGATTGGTTGATGTCTTAAAATCACCTGCAGCACTTACTAGTAAACTTGACATTCAACGTATGTGTTGAATTCAGTTGAATTTGCAGTTGGTCATATTTCTATGATAATTGTAATTTTATATTTGTATCTCCAATAAATAGGTCTGCCTCTACCTGTGACTGACCTTTTGTGCTTATTTCCTTACATTCCAATTATTTCTTACATTCCACTACATTTCATTAAAAATGTTATGTGATAATTAAACACTTAAACTAACAAAAGTCAAAATCAAAGCAGACATAGTAATGTATACATACACAAGTACACACACAAATGCATATGTATGTACACATATGTATATATATATTGTATACATTAGCTTTTCTTGGCACTAATTCCTAAATACCTGCTGAGATGAACTGATAGGAAACAAAAAACATGTATGGGTTGGCAGTCCTAGTGAAATCCTTTTTTCCCCCATTTTACTTGATAAACAACAGAAGTCCAGGAGATCAGGTTACAAATTGATAAAAATGTGCCTGCAAGAGTACCCACATCCAAAATCTTTAGTGATGATAGAGAAATTTATTTATTTTTCTTTATTTACTTTAGGGAAAGAGAAAGGGAGAGGGGGAGAGAGAAAGAAACATCAATGAGCGAGAACATCGATTGACCACCACCTTCATGCCCCCAACTGGGGTTTTGTTCCACAACCTGGGCATGTGCCCTGATCAGGAATCAAAACAGTGACCTCTAGGTGCATTGGTTGATACTCAACCACTGAGCCACACTGGCCAGGCGAGAAATTTATTCTTTTAAAAATAAATCTACATCATTGTTGCAGGACATCAAGTGCCCTGAAAGGACCAGAAATTTTGAGGAAATCCTGAAATGCAGAAGACAAAATGTTGAATTGACAAAAGAAATCACTGAGCAAATCACAAAGAAGAATGCTGCAAAATCTAAGAATGGCTCTGGATGTTTTTAAGAAAAGAACAGAATAACATAGGAATGAGGGAATTAGTGATGTTGGTTGTTTGAGGTACTGTATTAAGAGTAGCTATGTAGGTTGACCGCTGTGCCTGGTGTCCCCAAAATGATCCTCAGATTTGATGATTCATTAGAATGACCCATCAGACTAAAAACATAATTGTACTGATTGCTAAGATTTATTACAGGGAAAGAATACAAAGCAAAGTCAGCAAAGGGAAAAGG